AAACGCTCGCTCGAGCGAAGAAGTCCAAAACATACAGCTCGCTCGCTCAAGCGAAGAACATCTCGCTTAAGCCAAGGCTGCGTCTGAACAAAACCTGAACACATGAAAAGCTCGCTCGAGCGTACAAACCCTCGCTCGAGCGAAGAAGCAACAACACAAGGCTCACTCGAGCGACAAAGTCCTGGCTCGAGCGAAGAGGGTAAAAACTGGACATCAACCATATGCTTCCAATCACAACCAACCTGAAACGAACCTGCCCAAAACATCCTATAACTCAAATACAAAGTATTGAAGGACGGAAACAAGCTAAATACAATAACCCATATCTACAGAACCAAGTCTGGAATACAATACTTATTGGAGGGAAAACCGAGATCGCTATAATTCATTTCAGAAACAAATTTACATTCACATTCTTTTACAAGCCAATAATAGAAATCAGAATATATACTTAATCTTATATTCGTTAGCGCTAATAGATCACATACGGGGCATCGAAGATCATGCTTGTCAGTTCCATAAAGGAACCTCCAAACCAGGTACGAATAACTAGTTAGTTCCATAAAAGAACCTCCAGCTGGGTACAGAAAATTTGTCAGTTCCATAAGGAACCTCTGGACTGGGAACATATAACTTACTTGAGCCCCCGAATACTTATCAAAATTGGACAATCATTCATAGTACAAACATAACATTTTATAGAACAGATCTTATTTCATATACAGAAAATAAGTAGAGTTGAACATAGCTTTACTAAGTTATTACTCATGATTAACAGATGGCTCTAAGGCAAACAGACAGAATGGGCAAATTAGATGTCTTATGGCACGTGACCTACACAGTTACAGAGCGAACACATACTGAATTACACATCCAGAAATATTAACTTAATCCTCTCTTATCTTGGTGTGTTTCTACTTCTTTATTCTCATTATTGTGTCTTAATCTTGGCCTAGGAATGCATAGGATGCAATGAGGATGCAAAAATGCATTTGAAAACACTTGGTCAAAAATGCTAGAAACAGGGGTCCCGCTCGAGCGCAACTTCCCTCGCTCGAGCACTCTGTAAACCTTGCAAAAGTACTGGTTAAGTGAAATCTTCGCTCGATGGCCGCTCGACTCTCGCTCGAGCGTGAGACTCATGCCCTCGCTCGAGCGCAACTCTTACCGCTCGAGCGGTCTGCAAAACATGCAAACTTTTGGGAGCATGCATTTTACACTCGAGGGGACTTCAGGTCGCTTGAGTGAAAGTGTAAAATCACAAAGTGGCCGCTCGAGCGCAGATTCTGCTGCACGAGCAGAAGTGCAGAATCTAGGATTTTCAGATTGCATTTCGAAGCTCCAAACTTGAATTCAAAGCCATTTAACTCAATCTTTGGGCCCCAAAACTTGAGAAATCAGTTTAAACTTAAAAATATTAAGAGTTAAAAATCATTTCATGAAATCAAGTCCCAAAAACATGTCAGTTGTGCAAAAATTCAATTTGAAATGTAAGAATATGATATGAACATGACATGCATGTATTAATTTGAGTTCATAGCTTCCAAAACATGATCAAATGAGGTCCAATGGCAAGAAATGTTATGAATTCTTCAAACCGTGCTAGAATTACAACGTGCATGTGAGGAAAGCTTTGAAAACAACTTCCAATTGCTATGTAATATGCATGAATGTATGAAATGATTTAATTTTCTTCAATTCTAGCTCAAAACTCATGTTAATCCACTCAATTCTCTAGAATTCATGAATTTACCAACTCAAAAGCAAGACTAAAGGCTTGAATTCTCACCTTAGCTTCTCAATTTCTTAAGATTTAAAGGTAATCTTGAGCAATTCTTTAAGTCTCCAAGCAATGTCCTTCTCTACCTTAAGTTTGATCTCAAGTTCTTGGCCTCTCACTCGTTTTTGCTACCATGGATGTAGATATGAGAGTGTAAAGTGTGAATGAGAGTCCACTAATGCCTTATATAGGCTAAATTAATGGTTTAATTAAATGATTAATCAAGTTACCTAATTAGAGATAAATTATTCTAATTTAGTCGTTCTGAATCGAATTCTAATTAAACTTACCATGATGTTCTAAAAATTCCAAATAACACATAAATCAAGTCAATTTCTGAATCGGATGCCGATGCCACTATTAAAAAATGTATTTTTTGCGACAGCTATAAACCGTCGCAAATAATAAAAATACAGTCGCAAAAGACCTTTTGCGACTGCCCATGCGACAGCAAATGGGGGTCGCGAATGTGGGGGTGGCAAATACTTTTTGCGGCCGCAAAATAGCAGTCGCAAACTATTTGCGACCACCTAACTTACTTATGGCGACTGATATTTTGCAGTCGCAAAAAAGTTTAAAAAATGCCTACAATGTATTAGCGACCATCTTGTTACCGTCGCAATAAATTTGAAAAAAAAAAACATAAAAATGTGGCGTTAAGCAATAGCAATGGCCAAAACACAATCTATTAAGCACCAACAAGAAACATAACAATGAAACGTTCACAAACAACAATTGTCACTATTCAAGAGGAGTCTCAGGAGCCTTATTAATCCATTAAGCTTCAAATAAAACCAAATAACTAGTTTCAAACAAAGCACAAAATACTATTTGAAAAACTCCATGTCAAGTGAAGATGTTCGACTAAAGAGGCCATGTTAAAATCCCATTCTCCCACAGCTCATTCCACTTCTCAATCTGCAATAATTAATAATAAAAAGGATTAATAGGTGAAGTTGCATTTTTTGCTTATCTATCCATGATTATACAAATTATTTTTATACATAAAACACATAAGTATACATTTGTAAAATAGTAATCAGAGTAAAGAGAGGCAGTAAACTAGCTAAAACAAAAAGTTAGGTGCCACTATATGAAAGTCAACAAAACTTAACCACAATAACACTAACAAAATGCTAATTTTGTATTGTCAAAATCCTATAGGATGTGACAAAAAGAAATAGACATCGTGGGAAAAGAAAAGCATACTAGCATCAGTCTGCTGACTACTTTCATCAAAACCCTGCATTTGAAATATATGATCAGACAAAGTTACCGAAGGAGCAGGTTAGCCCCACTGCATATATAGCATCCTCCATGAGTATCAAAAATGAAGAAATAATCCTTAGAAAGATTAACCAACTCTAGAAACACTAGAAGGGGAAAAAAATTGAAGTTGGATCTTACATTGCTCAGGTCACCCATATATTAGATCAACCGTCGTTATAGAAACTTTGACACTTGATCAAAAAATATGAGAGAAAATCTTGCATCCACAATCAACAGTTGACTCATATTATGAGAGAAAATCCTGCATCCACAATCAATAGTCTACTCATATTTTGTGCTTTCCATCAACTGTTATATCAGGATTATAAAAGAGAACTCCAAGTATATCCAAGTATAATGGAACAATTTCAAGACAAGTTTTCCCTCATTTTAGTAGGATAGAAGTTAAACAAATGCTCGATCCCGGATCAATGGCTTCAGAACTGACGTGACCTGACTAAACTAAACAAGATGACATTGTCAAAGCAAAGGAAGTAAATATTATCTTTATAGATAATTTGCAAGCCGACTTTGCAATAGAAACAAACTCTAATTTTCGAGGCTAACTCAACTTTTGTCTATATAGATGAAGAATATCTTCACCCAATGACAAGTGTGGCAAGTGAATAAAGCCCCATTGAATAGCATTTTTGAAGTACTTTTCAGGTTTCATAAAAAGGAAGGCATAAAAATCAGAGAACTCTGTTTAGCTATGGACTTTCCAAGAATCATGCAAATAAAAGGCAAAAATGTTGATTTCATCACCTACCACCACCACTAGCAGCAAAGCTATGTCACCATTTTCAAGCTTTAGAACCTCAAATTATAGAATTCTTATCAAAACCAACAACAAAACCCAAAAACCACATCAACGCAAATCAAAACAAGCCATTTTTCAAACCTATATCTTCATCTTTGCAGATCTAGCTAAAAACATCATAGACAAAGTTCAGGTACTTTGTACATCATTCATCAAAACCCATACCTAATTTTAAATTAAAGAAGAAATGAAGGTCAACATATATATATATATATAAGAGTCATTAGTTACTGATACCATGGACTGCGTTATGTTTGGTGTGTGATTTTTTAGTGTTTGATGGTGGTGGTGAGGGTGAGCTGTCTTGGGATAAAGAAGATGTAAAGGTTAGGTGAGGGGATTAATTGTGTTCTTTTTATTTAGGTGGATGAAGATGTAAAGAAAAGTTCAGGTTCTTTGCTCCATGCTATTCTTCTTCTTTTTGATTTTTTATTGTCTTTTGTTCGTATAATCCTATTTGTGGCACATTTTGTCTTAACAAGCACAAACAAGATACTGAAAACCAATCTTCTGATGACAACTGAGACTTGTGTCTAAGATCACGACCCTAAGCCATGGCTAGAACCACATAAAATTTGACCCAACAAAGTAATAAAATAAAATAGTTTTATCTGGTACAACTTTAGACCTAATGTAAGAAACAACTGGTACTTCTCAATATTGGGCTTAGAATCATCCTCATCATCGTCCTTGTCCTCGTCCTCGTCCTCGCCATCTAGGTTAGGCGATATGTCAAAAGTAGAATTCAACTCTACATCAAGAAATGCAGCAAAGTCCTCACTGCTTGACGAGTGTATTGGAGAATCAATCACAAGACTCATCTGAAATGCCATCCAAGCAATAAATTAACAAATCCATTTGACGGATTTTAGCAACAAAGTACTTTTCAATTATGTATTTCTAAATTCATGGAGATTATTGTGATGTTAGAATACAATTCAAATTCATGGAGATTATTGTGAATTTAGTAACATCACCAAATTTCAAACAAATTAACAAATCCATTTGATGGATTTTAGCAACAAAGCCAATCTTAAATCTTGAAGCTATCCATAATCTCATTTTTAGCAAAAACTGCACAATAATATAAATCGGTACTTCAATAAATTTTCTAAATTAATATTACTATTAAAAATAATTTGCTTTACAACCGACATTGACCCTGCTCTGATTGAAAATAATTTACCTTCAGAATATAATCTGTCTGAAGAGTTCTTTTTTGCCCCTCAATTGAAGTCGCCTGTTAAATACCATTCTCTTTATGATTTTCAACGGATCTTTTGAAGTAAAATAATCAATTTATAGTTATGGTTACCTTCATGAAGGTGTCAATGTCTATGTCAGGGACAATTCCTGCTTCTTTCTCCCTTTTGCTAACTTCCTTCATAATTTCTTCATTTCCAGCTATGTAAGTTAAATCAACTTGTTATGAGGGCAAGTCTACACCAATATGGGATATATATAAATTACGAAAGAGTGAAGGAACCCTACCTGCTCTACTTCCAACACCTTGACAGCGTGCAGAAAAATCTGTCGTTTCCCTCACAGTCATCTCGGGTTTGTGCAGGTCATATTGGCTTATGTAAGCTGATGGTTTCTGAGGTACAAACTCATCGAGCCTGTAGATGTTGTAAAAGACTTCCCCCGCAACCTGAAGAAATTAAAAGGATTGAAAATGAAATACATTACAAACATTGTAATGATTGGCTTTTTCAAATTCATGATTGAGATTTCTGTCTATAGAATCCTTATTAATTTGAATATGTTGAAAAGATTGTAATGATATGATTTTTGATAATAATGTTTCTTTGTCGTTTCATATTACTAACTCTCTTCATAATTAGATTGGTTGGCAGAAATTGCCACCATTTATATCTATGCATTAGCACAGTAGTGGTGTCATATGAATGCAATTGTTTGGCGTCTGTCTATAGAGCCCATAAAATTTAAAAAGGTTTTTTTTTCCTTTTAAAATCATGTGATGTGATGTGATATGCTGGGAAAACTAACCTTGACAGACTGGTTTAGTTTTCCTGCTAGAGCCAATAATAAGGTGGTTTTCCCACAGCCTGGAGGTCCAAGAAGAAGAGTGAGCCTGCATCCAACAAAAACGTCCATGAACATGAATGATGGACTCTCTCTTCTCACATAAATATGAAATCTTCTCCTGTTGATACTATTTTTTTCAACAATTTTATGCTCATCATCTTTTTAATATTACACAACTTGGCTGAATTGGATCCATAAGACAGCCTAACTTTTCTGTCTTCCCCGCTACACAAAAATTTTAAGTATATTAAAGAACTGTCATTTTTTCTTCTTGTTTTTGTTTTTGTTTGTGTCATTTTTTCACACACACACACATACACGCAGGGAAGGGATAGTTTCACTGTGTTATACAAACAAAAGGTTCCCAAAGCTATGCCAAAACTAGTTATTAATGAAGGAATTTGCTAGTTCATCAATCTAATGACTGTTTCCAAAAATTGTAATATTGGTATTTTGTCAGGCCATCACTATGTGTTATGATATTCTTTGCTACTGAGCCTAAATTGATGCTGACATAAGATGGGATTCATTCCTCTGTCTGGAGTTGTGAAATCATTTTTCCACAGTATTCTTCCATGTACTGTCTAATGCTACCTATATATAAGCAGCCATGTATTCGTATTACCTTGACGGTTTGATAATGCCACTGACATCCTTCACAATGCTTATCTTGGCTTTTTGAGACTTGCACTGGATATATGGGAGAGAGGACCATAGGTACAATCAGTAATAATAATAAAACCCACAAATCTAGTACCATGCATATTTAATTTAATACATAAAAAAACATATAATCATTTCATCTGTGAAAAGCCTTGTGGGCACATCTAATTTTAACTATGGAGGTAAAGCAACTTTACAATTAATTACCAAAGTTAATAACCAACCAAATATTTTTCACAGCCTTGTGAACTGGTGACCTCATTGTTCTACCTTTTCTCTCAAATGGAGGGAGATAATGGGTGTCGTAGAAAGAGAAAATTGATAGAGAATCTGAAATGGGTACTTAGTGAGAAACCAAACAGAGAGAATCCAAGGACAAAAAAACGAAAAAACTACATCCCCTTTTGTCTATTATTCCACTTTCCTGTGTGTGTTTTTTTCCTCCTCTCAGTAGCATAGCGGAATAAAAAATATTGATTTGTAATGACAAAACCTTACTCAAGATAATGGAGTAACATTATCACCAATGTGGGATTATGGTAATGACTAATTCTTCTACAACTAATGTATGTACAAATCCAATTACAGTGTCACTGTTAATGAAAACCAGAAATATACTCATACCTTTGTATATACCAGTTTTCAGTTGTTCAGCATATTTGAAAGTTCTCCAGTATTAGCTGAAAACAGTGATTAGTTGCTACCAGCTAGGCCAACTAAATGGCCAATCTCATCTTCAAGGTGTGAAAAGTGAGTCAAGAACTTGTCATGAAGCTCAGAGCAGTCAAAATGATTTTGCTGCAAATGAGGAAGATGTAGACACCCCATTTTTGACCGACCTTAAGACTCAGACGTCACTGATTGAGCGCTTGGTGATGTTGCATAATGTGCTCGTTCAGAAGTTTCAGAGTTGCGGCCGTGAGCCCTGCCTCCGGAGTTCCGAACCCTCTTTTGTGCTTTGCCTCGGTTTGCGAACCAGGCTCGATTTTCTTTGTTTCTTTTCCTGAGGGGAGGGAGAGGTCCCGTAGACCATCTCTCAGTGGCCGTGGGCTACATTCTGTGGCCGTAGACCATTTTGCCCATTTCGGAGCCCGGTTTCCAGTTTTTCAGAATCGTTGGCCGTGTGCCTCGATTCGGGACCACCTAACCATCTCCGTTTGCCCCGGTTTTTGGCATACTTCCTATTTTCTCCCTTTTGAGGGACACTGGGGTCTGAGAAACCCACTTCGTGGCCGAAACGCCACTTTTGGTGCTTAACAGATAGTTTTCGGGGCCCCGAACTGCGCGTTCTGGCCCCCGAACATTCGTTTTGCAAACGGTTTCGGGCATTTTGGCAGGTACCGCTGTTTTTATCACCAGGAAGTCACTGAAGGATGGGAGGCCAGTAATTGATTGCAGCAACCATTATATATCCTCCGATTGCCCTCGACGCCCAGTTTTTTCACACTTCTGGCTATGTTGAACACCTTGGGCCCATTTTTCTTGAACTTTGAACCACATATTGTGATTACACACATGGGAGCGACCCTAAAATTATATGGTGGCCGGCCACTATGTTGCTTGACCCTTTGAAACCCCTCCTTCCGGTGCTAAGAGGGTTTGAACCACCTGGGCCACTTTCTTGAACTTTGAACCCACATTAATTTGTGATGTTACACAATTCGGAGAGCCTAAAGAGTTGGTGGCCGGCCACTAATGTTTCTGACCCTTTTGAACCCCTCCTTTCCGGGTGCAATGTTGAGACACCTTGACCACTTTCTTGGACTTTTAACCACAGGGGTTTGTGTTGTACACACATGGGAGGACACCATCATGTGGTGGCCGGCCACTAAACCAGCTTGACCCTTTTGACCCCTAGCCGGCCGGCTAGGGGATGTGGCCGGCCGGCCACCTACAGCAAAAATACCTGGCCGGCCATGATCCTCACACTGTTCACTTTACAGCTGTATAGCTTTATCCCCCAGAAAATATCTATATCCGAGGGATATTTTGTGGGGGAAAGTTTGCCTCCTTTTTCCCCCACCTTTACACCCTCTTTTTTTTCCATATAACCAAGGGTAAAACATCATATTTTGGGGTTAGAAAAAATTGTCTTCAAGTCTCAATACACATATCTCCCTCCATCTTTCTCATTTTCCTAAAAATCCCTAAGTCCTACACCTTGTTTTCTTCATCACCACCAAGCTCTACAACCACCACTCCATTTTAGCAGCAAGGGGAAGAATTCCAGCATCTTAGAGTCATCAAAGTTGGTCCAAGAAGCAACAAAAGTATTGATCTTCAAGGGTGAGTCCATTTCCCTCTTTTTTAGCTCATTTCTTGCAACATTTCTTAGCCTCTCTTTCTTATACATTTGAGCTCAGACCAAAACTGAAAGTACCCTTTTTTTGAGCTCATTTTCATGTCTCATGAAGGGCTCAACCCTGTTTGAGCCCCCTATCTTGCACTTGCTTCAATACCCTCTCTGTATGTCACTTTCTTGCATGCTTTTTCTAGCCTATGTGTGATCTATTTTGGAGCATGTTGTAAACTGATAATAGGCTTATTTTGAGCCCCTATTCAACATTTAAGAAGGGCTCAACACTGTTTGGGACTTCCATGTTGTACTTCCCTTTATATCCTCTTTTTGGTCCCATTTTTGTATGCCTTGGAAGCCCCTGATGTTGCTGTTTTTGGACTTTGATCCGAACTAAAAGTGGCCTTATTTTCACCTCCTGAACATGTTTTATTAAGGGTCTTTTCTTGTTTGATGAATGCTTTGTATACCTCATGTTATAGCCACTTTTGAGCCTCATTTTTGCATTGCATTTCTAGCATATTTGTATACTGTTTTTGGGGCTTCCATAAACTGTAAATAGTCCTATTTTTGGTCCCTCTTCAACATTGTTGAAGGACCCTAACCTGTTTGGGGTCATCAGCTATGAGTTTCTTCTTAATCTCATGTTTAGGGCCATTTCTTGCATGCTAGTTTTGCCCTATCTTGGTTTGCTGTTTGGCCATGTTTTGTACTGGTAAAATGCTAATTTTGGGGCTGCCTTGCTTCTGTATTTACATTCCATGTACCAATTTTGCATGTTTGGTATAGCTATAGGCCATTTCGGGTGCCAAAATTCGTGTTTCGGGACTATTCCGTGCATCGGGTGTACTTTCGCCTCGTTTCGGGGCTGTTTTACCCCATATTTCATTGCTTAAAATCCATTAGCATGCTTGCATACCATTTTTGCCATATTTGCATTGCGTATACCAATGCCTCGGTGTGTGTGCCCGTGTGCACGCATTTGGAGGCACTTCATTTTCATCCATCGGCATCCTATGTGAGTGTGGCTGAGGCTCTCTCATGTTGGTATAAGCCCATATCATGTTTTCATGTCATTTGCATTGCGTATGCCATTGCCTCGGTTTGCGTGCCCGTGTGCACACCCACTATCTCCTCCACTACACCTACTACCACATTTTCTTCTATATATAGATTGTATAGGAATTGTAATTCAATCAATCTTGTAATACATCAATACATCAATCAATCTTTACCTTCACTTACTCCACTACACACTCCACTTCACCTAACCCACTATCTCCTCCACTACACCTACTACCACATTTTCTTCTATATATAGATTGTATAGGAATTGTAATTCAATCAATCTTGTAATACATCAATACATCAATCAATCTTTACCTTCACTTACTCCACTACACACTCCACTTCACCTAACCCACTATCTCCTCCACTACACCTACTACCACATTTTCTTCTATATATAGATTGTATAGGAATTGTAATTCAATCAATCTTGTAATACATCAATACATCAATCAATCTTTACCTTCACTTACTCCACTACACACTCCACTTCACCTAACCCACTATCTCCTCCACTACACCTACTACCACATTTTCTTCTATATATAGATTGTATAGGAATTGTAATTCAATCAATCTTGTAATACATCAATACATCAATCAATCTTTACCTTCACTTACTCCACTACACACTCCACTTCACCTAACCCACTATCTCCTCCACTACACCTACTACCACATTTTCTTCTATATATAGATTGTATAGGAATTGTAATTCAATCAATCTTGTAATACATCAATACATCAATCAATCTTTACCTTCACTTACTCCACTACACACTCCACTTCACCTAACCCACTATCTCCTCCACTACACCTACTACCACATTTTCTTCTATATATAGATTGTATAGGAATTGTAATTCAATCAATCTTGTAATACATCAATACATCAATCAATCTTTACCTTCACTTACTCCACTACACACTCCACTTCACCTAACCCACTATCTCCTCCACTACACCTACTACCACATTTTCTTCTATATATAGATTGTATAGGAATTGTAATTCAATCAATCTTGTAATACATCAATACATCAATCAATCTTTACCTTCACTTACTCCACTACACACTCCACTTCACCTAACCCACTATCTCCTCCACTACACCTACTACCACATTTTCTTCTATATATAGATTGTATAGGAATTGTAATTCAATCAATCTTGTAATACATCAATACATCAATCAATCTTTACCTTCACTTACTCCACTACACACTCCACTTCACCTAACCCACTATCTCCTCCACTACACCTACTACCACATTTTCTTCTATATATAGATTGTATAGGAATTGTAATTCAATCAATCTTGTAATACATCAATACATCAATCAATCTTTACCTTCACTTACTCCACTACACACTCCACTTCACCTAACCCACTATCTCCTCCACTACACCTACTACCACATTTTCTTCTATATATAGATTGTATAGGAATTGTAATTCAATCAATCTTGTAATACATCAATACATCAATCAATCTTTACCTTCACTTACTCCACTACACACTCCACTTCACCTAACCCACTATCTCCTCCACTACACCTACTACCACATTTTCTTCTATATATAGATTGTATAGGAATTGTAATTCAATCAATCTTGTAATACATCAATACATCAATCAATCTTTACCTTCACTTACTCCACTACACACTCCACTTCACCTAACCCACTATCTCCTCCACTACACCTACTACCACATTTTCTTCTATATATAGATTGTATAGGAATTGTAATTCAATCAATCTTGTAATACATCAATACATCAATCAATCTTTACCTTCACTTACTCCACTACACACTCCACTTCACCTAACCCACTATCTCCTCCACTACACCTACTACCACATTTTCTTCTATATATAGATTGTATAGGAATTGTAATTCAATCAATCTTGTAATACATCAATACATCAATCAATCTTTACCTTCACTTACTCCACTACACACTCCACTTCACCTAACCCACTATCTCCTCCACTACACCTACTACCACATTTTCTTCTATATATAGATTGTATAGGAATTGTAATTCAATCAATCTTGTAATACATCAATACATCAATCAATCTTTACCTTCACTTACTCCACTACACACTCCACTTCACCTAACCCACTATCTCCTCCACTACACCTACTACCACATTTTCTTCTATATATAGATTGTATAGGAATTGTAATTCAATCAATCTTGTAATACATCAATACATCAATCAATCTTTACCTTCACTTACTCCACTACACACTCCACTTCACCTAACCCACTATCTCCTCCACTACACCTACTACCACATTTTCTTCTATATATAGATTGTATAGGAATTGTAATTCAATCAATCTTGTAATACATCAATACATCAATCAATCTTTACCTTCACTTACTCCACTACACACTCCACTTCACCTAACCCACTATCTCCTCCACTACACCTACTACCACATTTTCTTCTATATATAGATTGTATAGGAATTGTAATTCAATCAATCTTGTAATACATCAATACATCAATCAATCTTTACCTTCACTTACTCCACTACACACTCCACTTCACCTAACCCACTATCTCCTCCACTACACCTACTACCACATTTTCTTCTATATATAGATTGTATAGGAATTGTAATTCAATCAATCTTGTAATACATCAATACATCAATCAATCTTTACCTTCACTTACTCCACTACACACTCCACTTCACCTAACCCACTATCTCCTCCACTACACCTACTACCACATTTTCTTCTATATATAGATTGTATAGGAATTGTAATTCAATCAATCTTGTAATACATCAATACATCAATCAATCTTTACCTTCACTTACTCCACTACACACTCCACTTCACCTAACCCACTATCTCCTCCACTACACCTACTACCACATTTTCTTCTATATATAGATTGTATAGGAATTGTAATTCAATCAATCTTGTAATACATCAATACATCAATCAATCTTTACCTTCACTTACTCCACTACACACTCCACTTCACCTAACCCACTATCTCCTCCACTACACCTACTACCACATTTTCTTCTATATATAGATTGTATAGGAATTGTAATTCAATCAATCTTGTAATACATCAATACATCAATCAATCTTTACCTTCACTTACTCCACTACACACTCCACTTCACCTAACCCACTATCTCCTCCACTACACCTACTACCACATTTTCTTCTATATATAGATTGTATAGGAATTGTAATTCAATCAATCTTGTAATACATCAATACATCAATCAATCTTTACCTTCACTTACTCCACTACACACTCCACTTCACCTAACCCACTATCTCCTCCACTACACCTACTACCACATTTTCTTCTATATATAGATTGTATAGGAATTGTAATTCAATCAATCTTGTAATACATCAATACATCAATCAATCTTTACCTTCACTTACTCCACTACACACTCCACTTCACCTAACCCACTATCTCCTCCACTACACCTACTACCACATTTTCTTCTATATATAGATTGTATAGGAATTGTAATTCAATCAATCTTGTAATACATCAATACATCAATCAATCTTTACCTTCACTTACTCCACTACACACTCCACTTCACCTAACCCACTATCTCCTCCACTACACCTACTACCACATTTTCTTCTATATATAGATTGTATAGGAATTGTAATTCAATCAATCTTGTAATACATCAATACATCAATCAATCTTTACCTTCACTTACTCCACTACACACTCCACTTCACCTAACCCACTATCTCCTCCACTACACCTACTACCACATTTTCTTCTATATATAGATTGTATAGGAATTGTAATTCAATCAATCTTGTAATACATCAATACATCAATCAATCTTTACCTTCACTTACTCCACTACACACTCCACTTCACCTAACCCACTATCTCCTCCACTACACCTACTACCACATTTTCTTCTATATATAGATTGTATAGGAATTGTAATTCAATCAATCTTGTAATACATCAATACATCAATCAATCTTTACCTTCACTTACTCCACTACACACTCCACTTCACCTAACCCACTATCTCCTCCACTACACCTACTACCACATTTTCTTCTATATATAGATTGTATAGGAATTGTAATTCAATCAATCTTGTAATACATCAATACATCAATCAATCTTTACCTTCACTTACTCCACTACACACTCCACTTCACCTAACCCACTATCTCCTCCACTACACCTACTACCACATTTTCTTCTATATATAGATTGTATAGGAATTGTAATTCAATCAATCTTGTAATACATCAATACATCAATCAATCTTTACCTTCACTTACTCCACTACACACTCCACTTCACCTAACCCACTATCTCCTCCACTACACCTACTACCACATTTTCTTCTATATATAGATTGTATAGGAATTGTAATTCAATCAATCTTGTAATACATCAATACATCAATCAATCTTTACCTTCACTTACTCCACTACACACTCCACTTCACCTAACCCACTATCTCCTCCACTACACCTACTACCACATTTTCTTCTATATATAGATTGTATAGGAATTGTAATTCAATCAATCTTGTAATACATCAATACATCAATCAATCTTTACCTTCACTTACTCCACTACACACTCCACTTCACCTAACCCACTATCTCCTCCACTACACCTACTACCACATTTTCTTCTATATATAGATTGTATAGGAATTGTAATTCAATCAATCTTGTAATACATCAATACATCAATCAATCTTTACCTTCACTTACTCCACTACACACTCCACTTCACCTAACCCACTATCTCCTCCACTACACCTACTACCACATTTTCTTCTATATATAGATTGTATAGGAATTGTAATTCAATCAATCTTGTAATACATCAATACATCAATCAATCTTTACCTTCACTTACTCCACTACACACTCCACTTCACCTAACCCACTATCTCCTCCACTACACCTACTACCACATTTTCTTCTATATATAGATTGTATAGGAATTGTAATTCAATCAATCTTGTAATACATCAATACATCAATCAATCTTTACCTTCACTTACTCCACTACACACTCCACTTCACCTAACCCACTATCTCCTCCACTACACCTACTACCACATTTTCTTCTATATATAGATTGTATAGGAATTGTAATTAATCAATCTTGTAACAATACAATCAATAATAATACATCAGTATTACTACACACTCCACTTCACCTACCTCTACTCCACTACACACTCCACTTCACCTAACCCACTATCACCTCCACTACACCTACTACCACATTTTCTTCTATATATAGATTGTATAGGAATTGTAATTAATCAATCTTGTAATACATCAATACATCAATCAATCTTTACCTTCACTTACTCCACTACACACTCCACTTCACCTAACCCACTATCACCTCCACTACACCTACTACCACATTTTCTTCTATATATAGATTGTATAGGAATTGTAATTAATCAATCTTGTAATACATCAATACATCAATCAATCTTTACCTTCACTTACTCCACTACACACTCCACTTCACCTACCTCCACTTCACTACACACTCCACTTCACCTAACCCACTATCACCTCCACTACACCTACTACCACATTTTCTTCTATATATAGATTGTATAGGAATTGTAATTTATCAATCTTGTAATACAATATCAATCTTGTAATACAACATCAATTTTTCTTACATGGTATCAGAGCTAAGTTAAGAACTTAGTATTTTTCGCTTTCCCGGCGGGCGGCAACCTTGCCTTGGCCGCCCGCCGGACCTCAACCTAGTCCACTGGAATTTTCTACACATACCTTGAAATTCCTTCGAGTCCACCACCTTCAATAAACCCAATTGAGACTACTCTGGCTTCAAGAGGATCTGTCACCAGATGCTCTCTCTTTCATAAGCTCTCACTCTTCTTCACCAGATCTAATCCAAGAGAGGAAAGCTTTACATTGTGGGCAGGACTGAGTCTCTTGTCTAGGAATTTGTTGATATGGGTCGTGGAGTCAGTTCTGGCGGCGGACAGAGTTCACGTGGCTACTTATTTGGGAGTGGTGAGGCTCCAAAGCCAGCCACAAACAATCCAACACCTGCTTCAAGTGAAGGACAGGATGTAAATAATGGTCCTCCCCCCAAGACTACTGCTGCTTCTCAACAAGTAGATGTTACTAAGCAGATTCCTCCCGGTATAAATAGCAGCACTGCAAATAAATACTTCAGGGCAGATGGTCAGACCGGTGGCACTTTCATTACAGATCAGCCCTCAACTAAGATCCATTCTGCCCCTGGTGGTGGATCTTCTCTTGGTTACCTCTTTGATGACGACGGTCCAATGAGTGTCTCAGTCTTTCCCGCCGCCCAGAACTCCTCGTCGCTACTCTCCTGCACCAGATCTGAACCACATACAGGAAAAGTGCACCGCGTCTCCACTGTGAACCAACTCATCGCCACCGCCGTCCGCCCTATTGGGTAACCCAAGCTCATCGTCAGAAGCTTCGAGAAGGTGTCTCATGCACCTCTCAGTCTCGTCTTCCTCATCGTCTCCCTTCAAACCACCATGACTGTACTCTGAGGTCGCCGTGGGGAGAGATGCAGGCTCGTCGGAGGTGGCGGAGTCGCCGGAGAGCTCTCGTTGGAGGGTGGTGAGGATAGAAGAGAAGTCTAAGTTGGGTTCGTCTTCTTCGTCTTCGAAGAGAGAGAGAGAGAGTTTTTTTTTTTAAAAGAATGGCTGAGCTGATTGATGTTGGTACATGGGAAAGTGGACTCACGTGGGTGGTAATTTGCCCCACGGTTTTGATCAAAACCAGCCTATAGCCTATAGTTTCAAAGACGCACTCCCCTTTCTCTCTTCCTTTTGGCTGTTTGAAAACACTATCTCTCTCTACTCCAGCCTATAGCCTATAGTTTCAAAGACGCACTCCCCTTTCTCTCTTCCTTTTGGCTGTTTGAAAACACTATCTCTCTCTACTCAAGTCCATCCACGCTATGTCCACTTTCTTTAAACCCATCATTCCATAACCCACATGGGCTTGTTCCCATCTTTTCATACAACCCATCATTCCCAAATTATTTAATCAATTCGTCAAAAAAAAAAAAAGACACAGAAGAAGAAGAACTGCACACCACACTCATTTTATTCATGTTGGGGCTCACCCCGATCACCATTTTACAACAACACACAGTGGGATTTTTCTTCTCTACTCTGCTGCAGGTCTCTTCTTCTTGCCTCCGTCTTGGACAGTCCTTGACGGTGCTGCCTCCGTGCTTCCTCGTCCACCGAGCACGTTTACTCCCCCCTGCTCCTCCACTGCAGCATATGGCGGACCTCCAAATCGGAACATCACGGTGGCCTTCCGCTTCAGCTCCTTATTTTCCGCCTTTAGCACACTGATCTCTGCTCGCGCATCCTTATACATGCGTTGGAGCAGAGCCAGCTGGGAATTTAAATGCTGCACCTCATTTGTCCTACTCTGCAGCCGGTTCGACAAATTTGTGACCGCCGTCATGCTTTCCACACATGCCTTCAGAGTATACTGATTAGCCTCAATATCAGTTTGCACCGCCATTTTTTGCTCCACCGAAAAGAAAGTATTTCGGGATAACTCCTTGGCAATAACCTTTGTTTGCACTGCCATTTTTTGCTCCACCGACCGCATAGGAAAGTTCAACGGAGCAAACCCTGGGGCGCTTGGTTGAGGTTCACTGGCCCCCGCACCAGTTATCTCTCTTGTTGACTCGTTAAGGTCTGGAAAGAGAGTGAGCAGACCACGGGAAGACGAAGCCATTTTCTGGACAACAGAGTGTTACAGAGTGTCTCTCTCAGAAATCTCTCTCAGAAAACAGAGTGTTACCGAGTATCTCTCTCAGAAATCTCTCTCAGAAAACGAAGAGTTTTTTTCAGAGTTTTTTTAGCAGGTTTTTGTCTCTGTTTCCAAGCCTCAGCCTCCGCTTCGGTTTATAAAGACCATGACAAAGAGGTCGACACGCGTTCTGTCGATCACGTGCATCGCCGCGTGTCTGGCGCACCTTTTGATGGCACGCCTTTTGAAAACATGGGCACGCTTTTTGATGGCACGCCTTTTTATGGATTTGGCACGCCTTTTTATGGCACGCCTTTTGATGGCACGCCTTTTGATGAATTGGGCACGCCTTTTGATGGCACGCCTTTTGATAGATTGGGCACACCTTTTGAGGGTGCGACTTTTTAAGGGTCCGACAAGATTCTGTAAACTGTCCCGACATTGATTCCGGTTAGTTTTTTTATGGGTCCGACAAGACTCTGTAAACTGTCCCGACATTAATTCCGGTTAGCTCCTTTATGGGTCCAACAAGACTCTGTAAACTGTCCCGACATTGATTCCGGTTAGTTTCTACAAGGGTCCAGCAAGACTCTGTAAACTGTCACAACAACTGTCAGAACATTGTCTGCTACAACCAAGGTTCTGAAAAGCGGTTGCGGTCGCCGTAACGGTGGCGGTGATGCGGTTGCGGTTGCGGGGTGTAAAGGCCGTAGTGTAACGGTTGCGGTAATCGGAACCGTGAATTTTTTTATTTTTCGCACAATTTGAAAAAAATTTACCGATACGCATATTTTTTTTTCATGATCATATTTATTGGGTTAAAAATAAATATTGATCAATTTTTGCAAATTTTTAAATATGATCTAATATATTTCATATTTCTAAATCACTATAAACTGAGTTTTTTACATTTTATTTTAATAATTAATGACTTTATATTATACAAAAAATCAATCACTAACTATTATATATAAGATAAACAATGACAAAAGTAAGAGAATAAATAAGAGTCTAAATATATATATAGTGCCTACTTCTGATCCTCCTTCCTCCAACTTTGTTTCTACAAGTACTCCTACACATGCCTTGAGTGCTGTCTCTTCATTCCCTTGGATTATTGACTTTGGTGCTACCGATCATATGGATAGGTTTGTCTACCCTTTTCCACTCTTACTCTCCTTGTTTTGGTAAGGATAAAGTAAGGGTGGCTGATGGGTCTTTATCCTCTATGTCTGGGACCGGTTCTATTCATCGTTCTCCCTCTATTTCTCTCTCCTCTATTCTTTATGTTCCTAAATTTTCTGCTAATTTACTGTCTATCAATTGTACTACCAATTCCTTAAATTGTTCTGTAACCTTTTTCCTTTCTCATTATGTTTTTCAGGAACTGGGTACGGGAAAAATGATTGGCAGTGATAGAGCACATGGGGGATTGCATTTTCTAGACGGTGGATCTTTTGCCACTAGTCAAGCTCTTCAGACAACCAACACTTCATCTCTTTCTCTATTACATTAGTGGCATCGGTGTTTAGGCCGTCCCTCTATTTCAGTTTTGAATAAACTTTTTCCTAATTTAGTGAAGGATTGTGTCAGAAATAATTTTCATTGTGATTTTGTGAGTTTGCCAAACATAAAAGATCTTGTTATCCTTCAATTAATAAGAGAAGTTTGTTTCCATTTATGGTTATTCATTCTGAGGTATGGGGTCCATCTCGTGCTATGATGCACGGACACGGGACACGGACACGACACAAACACGCGGGCACGCAAATTTTCAAAAAATGGGGACATGACACGCTAGGGACACGCTTAATATATATAATTTTATTTATTTATATTTATTTATTTACTTTAATATCAAATTTCATTTACAAATTAATTTTTTCCTACAAATAAAAATAATTTATTTTATGTATGTTTAAGTTGAGCAAATAAGAATACTCAAAAAATAGAAAAAAAGAAGAGAGAGGAAAGAAAAAAAAAGGGTGTTTTTTTTTTGTTAATATATATATATATAATATCAGGGACAGAGGGAAACAACAAAAAGAATAGAATAGAGAAGAGGAGAGAGGGAGAGAGATGATCGCGCAGAAAGAAGAGAGAGTCGAAGAGGTAGAATTGATGAGTTCAACACAAGCAAGAGACAAAGTCGAAAGCGAGAGAGAGACGAATCACGGAGAGACGAACGGAAGAAGAAGAAAAACGAAGAAGAATAACAAATTTGAATAAATGAAGACAGATTCGAAGAGCATACCTCGATTTAGGGCTTCAACAGGTTCTTCTTCACCCTCTCTTTCTCTCTCTCTCTCTCTCTCTTTGTATTCAATTAGTTAGGGTTTTTATCTATTTGTATTCAATGAGTTGGGGTTTCTCTCTCTTTGTATTCAACGAGTTAGGGTTTCTCTCTCTGTCTCTAACGTGTCCACAACGTGTCCAAGCGTGTCCAGCTGGAAAAATTCAAAAAAAAAAAAAAAAGGGGGGGACACGTTAGGTAGAGTGTCCAACATGTGTCCATTGTGTGTCCGACGCGTGTCCGTGTCAGTGCTTGACACGTGTCGGACACCCGTACACTGCCTTCGGAGAGGTGTCCGTGCTTCATAGATCTCGTGTTCTGTCTGTGTCTAGTTATTGTTAGTTTGTTACTTTTATTGACTGTTATTCTTGTGTCACTAGGGTTTACTTGCTTCGCACCAAAAGTGAGGTCTTTTCTTGCTCTCAAACATTTCATAAGATGGTTCATACTCAATTTGACATCGACATTAAAGTACTTTGAAGTGATAATGATACTGACTAAATTGATGGTGAATGTTGAGCATATCTTGAGGCTCATGGTATTCTTTATCAAACCAGTTGTGGGTGAATTTTGAGCATATCTTGAGGCTCATGCTATTCTTTATCAAACCAGTTGTGTTGGCACTCCCGAATAGAACGGAGTTGTTGAACGCAAAAACCGTCATCTTTTTGTAGTTGCTCGTGCCCTTATGTTCACGATGTGGGTTCATAAACCATTCTGGGGTGGTGTTGTTTTCACTGCCGTGTATCTCATTAACCGTATGCCTTCTAGAGTCCTCTAGTTTCAGCACCCCTTACTCTCCTTCCTCCTATGCTTGTACCCCCTCATTCCCTTCCTCCTAAAGTGTTTGGTCGTGTTTGCTTTGTTCACATTTCTCGTCGTACTTGGGACCAAACTGGACCCCAAGGCTCTTCGGTGTGTCTTCATTGGTTACTCCACCTAGAAAGGCTACAAGTGCTATGATCCTCACTCTCGAAAAACTTATATTACCATGGATGTCACCTTTTGTGAGTCTTGAGTCGTTCTTCAGGGACCAATCTCTTCAGAGGGAGGTTTCTTCAATGGAAGAGATTGTTTCTTCTGGTCCATTATTCTCTACTATTTGTTGTGAGGGGAAGGAGGCGCCGTATTGTGAGAAGGATATGAGTAAGTGTGTTTAGGGGGAGTCTAATAGGTTCGATAAACCAGATTGTGTTCAGGGGGGAGTCTAGTATGTTGGATAGACCAGATTGTGTTCGGAAGGAGTCTAGTAGGTTGGATAGACCTGATCTTCAGACCTACTCTTGGCGACAGAGAGAACAGTCGACCTATGTGTCGCCATGCAAATTATCACCTCCGACTCCAGTTCCTAATTCTTTTATGGAATCCTCAAGTAATGAGTCTTTGGTTACTTCTCCTACTATTCGTGTTGATGATTCAAATCTTCCTATTGCTAGTAGAAAAGGTGTTAGAACTTGTACTTAACATCCTATTTCTAAATTTGTGTCATATGACTCCTTATCTTCATCATATCGTGCCTTTGTTTCGTCTTTGTCCTCTATCTCTATTCCTCAGTATTAGAAGGAAGCACTCACTGATCGTAAGTGGAAAGAAGCTATGGCAGAGGAGAGAGAGCTTTGAGTAAGAATGGCACTTGGGAGTTAGTTTTTCTACCCCCAAATGGGTGTTTACAATCGAGCAGAAGGCCGATGGGACTATTGAGAGATATAATGCGAGATTGGTTGTTAAAAGGTTCACTCAGACTTGTGGCATTGATTATCAGGGGACTTTTGCTCCAGTGGCTAAAATGAATTTTACTCCGTCGGTAAGATTGAATTTCTCTAATGCTTGTTTTTCTTTGTCATACTGTGCTTTTCTGTTTACCATTTACTCTTATGTTGAGCCTCAGTCTTATAAGGATACTTGTCTAGATCCAAACTGGGTGTTTGCTATGAAAGATGAGTTGTCTACTCTTGCTAAGACTTTTACTTGGGAGTTGGTCCCCTTGCCCCCCGGCAAGAAGAAAGTAAAGAATGGAATGGCTTAATTATAATTCATGACTAGCCTTGTATAGATATAAATTGGAGAGATTACAAATTAGGAAGGTAGAATAAATAAAATCAGAATAAAGAAAAATAGCCTAATATCCTGTAATACATGAATTATGGAAAATTCTATTTCCACACGCTCTTTTATCTCTGTGTACATAACTTCTCAATGCACACCCTTGTGAAATTGGTTTTATGCTAAGAAGCACGGGTGCGGGTGCGGGTACGAGTACGGTACGGGTACGCCGATACGGCAAAATCCCAAAAAAGTAGGGTACGGGTACGGCTGCGGTACGCCGATTTTGTTTTTTATTTTTTATAATTACGGTTAAAAGATCCAACCTACAAATTGAAGTTAAATATCAAAACTAAAAAGAGAACTATAAAACTAAAAGACAAATATTAATATATTTGAATTCAACATAACCAACACCAATTCAGTCCATAATCCAAGCAAAGGAAAAACAACCAACAACACCAAAGAGGAGCCTTTTCATCTCCAGATTGATCAATGGAAGGAGCAGAAGCACTTGCAGCAGATGAACCTAAACTGCTTGATGAACTCATTTTCCTATAAGAATAAAAAATAATATTTATGATTATTAATATTTATGATTATTATTAACATTCTGTTGATCTAATTTTATGATTAAAAATAATATTTATGATTATTAATATTTATGATTATTTCCTAATTTATTAATTTTTTTGATCTATTTTTTTTTTGGTTCTAAATATGATTGAATAACCTGGTTCTAATTTTTTTAATTTTTTTGTTCTAAATATGATTTTTTGTGTTCTAATTTTAACATCAGATTATACCTCTGAAGAAAAAAGAAGAAACAAGAAAAAAAAAACAAAAAAAATAAAGATGAAGAGATACCTCTCTGCAGGTCGAAGCCGAAGTCTCTGGGTCGAAGCCGAAGACGAGGGTCGAAGTCGATCTTTGGGTCGAAGTCGAAGTTGAAGACGAGGGTGATGGTCGCTGTCGAAGACGAGGGTGATGGTCGAGTCGCTGTCGAAGACGAGAGTGATGGTCGAAGTCGCCTCTTTGCTTCGATGAGATTAGGGCAAAAGTCGAAGTCGAAGGAGGGTGATGGTCGAAGTCCTCTTTGCTTCGATGAGATTAGGGCAAATGTCGAAGTCGAAGACGAGGTGATTAGGGCAAATTGTATATACATTTTCTCTTTTTTTGTTTTTAATTTTTCTTAATATTGCTTCAGTACCCCTTAATTTTTCAGAAATTTGATTTCTGCCCCCGCCGTACCCAAAACGCACCATCGGCGTACCCATTCCGTACCCGACTGAGGGAAACGTACCCAACCACTTTTTGCCGTACCCGGTACGCGTGCAGCCGTACCGGTACGCGTACCCGCACACGGTAAGTACTCGGTGCGTGTACGGCACTATTTTTGGAGTACCCGTGCTTCATAGGTTTTATGTTTTTGTTCTCAGTCCACACCTCACATGTTCCAATTATATCCTAAACTAACATCCTTGTACACACACCACTTAAATCTTTTGTTCCACAGAGAATCAATGGTGTAGACCCATTTTTTATTCCACCCACCTTGAAAACACTGCAACATCTTTCACAAGAAATCCCTCAGTAAATCACTCCATGAATCTTTAGATCATACAACAAACTACCGCCTTTGATTTCCAATTACATCATCAAACTGATTCCTTCAATCAACAATCCAGTCAACATTGAAAAAGTCATTAATTGGCATCGACTTGTATCAACTTAGATCTTGAAACAACATCGTTTTGTATCAAACTCCATTGAAGACGTACAACTCCATCTCTTATTTTTCATAAACTATTTTTTTTTTTTGGGAAATTTTGCTTATTCTGTACTGGTTATCCGAATGAAAAAATTTTATTCGATTTTTAACTTCTGAAACATGTAAAAAAATTCAGAACTTGGCTTCTGAAATAAATTCTTAAATTCGAAAGTTGAGTTCCGAATCCAAATTTGAAACTTGATTTTTGAATAGAATTAATAATTTCAATAGTTGATATCCGAAAAAAGTAACATGTTTCGGCACTGGTTTATCGAATTAAAATTGTGAAAAAAATTTTTGCACAAAAAAACTTGCTTTTTCATAATTGTTTTTGTTGTAACTAGGTATATTGTTATTTGAATTTGAATTTCCATTGATTTGCAACTCTTTCATCACAAAAATCAAGAATTATGGTGGATTCTAATGACAAAACGATACAATCAATGGAGTATAAACTTAGAGAGTAAAGCAAACAACGGAAAAACTAGGGTTTTTTTTTTTTTAACTCAAAAGGTGCATATTAAGATTTTTTTATTCTTAAAAGATGTGTATAGATAATTTTTTTTACATAATATTATAGGTATTGCTGGATGTCCATTACGGTCATTTTTATTTAGGATATAATTGTCATTAAATTAATATTCATTAAGTGTGTGCCCTGAGCTAATTAGGTGTGTGGAAATAGAATTTCCCATGAATTATGGGATCCTAACTTATTTGTATATTCCAACACTACCCCTCAAGCTGGTTCAAAGATATTCACTAAACCAAGCTTGACAATGGAGGACTGTAACAAGGTTGGTCTAACTGATTTGGTGAACATATCAGCGAGCTGCTCAGATGAAGAGACAAATGATGGACTCACAACTTTAGTACTAACCTTTTCCCTAATAAAATGAATATCAACCTCTATATGTTTAGTCCTCTCATGAAGAACTAAGTTAGAGGCTAACATAATTGACGCCTTATTGTCATAGAACAAAAGCGAGGAAGTGTACTCCTTAAAGCTCAATTCTTCAAGAATAGATTTGACCTATAATATCTCACAAGTGCCCTGAGCCATAGCATGGTATTCGGCTTCAGCCGAAGATCTCGAGACAACCGCTTGATCCGCATTAGTGAAACACAACAACTCAGATTGAATTATTGTAGAGAAGAATAACCCCAAACTCGGAGTAGTCTTCAAATATCTCAAGATGTGATAGACTGCATCAAGATGAGTTCTACGAGGTGCATGCATAAATTGACCTACAATACTCACAGCAAATGCCAAGCCTGATCTAGTACTGGTCAGATAAATCAGTCGACCCACTAAACACTAATACATGCCAGGATTACTCAATACCTCACCTGATCTAGTATTGGTGATGCTATTCTTACCGTTGCTTATCTTATTAACCGTATGCCTTCTAGTGTCCTACAATTCCACATTCCTCTTCAACTGCTTCATATAGCATATCCCATCTCTTCTCCTCCTCCTCGGGTGTTTGGGTGTGTCTATTTTGTTCATTTGCAACCTCGTACTCGTGGGAAACTTGATCCTAAGGCTATACACTGTGTCTTTATTGGTTATTCTACTACTTAGAAGGGTTACAAATGGCTATGATCCTCACAATTGCAAAAAATATGTTAGTATGGATGTCACTTTCCATGAATCTGCGTCCTTATTTCTTTATCCTCCGCCATCTCCTCAGGGGGAGAGTGTTATGGATGAGATTGCAGATGAGGAGATGGCCTATCAACATGAGTTGTCTTTTTTCCTTCTTAGTCAGCGGACTGTTATTTGTGGTGAGGGGAAGCCTAATAGTTCTCTTGATGTGGAGCTTGATATTGGTGGTGGTTTGGACAGGGTTGATCTTAAGACTTATTCTCGGCATCCAAAAGAGAAGGCTTCCCTTGTGCCACCCAACCAATCATCATCCCTCATGCCAGTTCCAGGTAATGCATCTTAGTCTATTCCTTCACCTATAGTTGATAGTCCTATTGCTGATGATTCGAGTCTTTCTATTCCTGTTGCTGATGATTCGATTCTTCCTATTGCTCTTAGAAAGGGGTTAGGGTTTATACTCAATGTTGGCACATAAATTTCAACCAAATTTATGTTTAAATTTCAAATGCAGTCAATGACACACATAGAGCCTACAATAAGATTGTTGTAGGCAATCACTTCCTAAAAAAGATCAATATGATCCGTTAAAGTACATAAATAAAACGACGTTGTATCTCAACAACGTTATTCAAGATACTCAAGTGACACGTGGAGCCTACGAAAGATGACACCTGTAGAGCCTACAGCAAGGACACCACACAAGATGAAACCCCAAAGATCAATCCGGTTAATCAGATATACGATTAATCAGATAGCGCTATTATTCAAAATTCAAATGGCGCTATCATTCAATTTGAAATTCAAATTGAAGATGAAGCATTCTTATCACCTGATGGCCCTCTATAAATATGAGGACCATCACACAAGACGGGGGATCAAAAAATCAGAAGTGAAAAGATCAGAGAAAGAGAGAAAGAAATTGAGAGCTAAAGAAGTCGTTACAAGAAAGAAGAAGAGAAGCCTAAAGAACTCAAGAGCCTACGCTAATGGCGATGAATAAGTAAAGGGTTCCAAACCCAAGAATTGTATTTTGTATTCGAGGGTTCAAAACCCATAACAATTTCAATAAAATATTTATTTTTCTTAAATTGTCTTTTGTTGTTAATTTTGTTCTTCATTAATCGGAGGTTTCATTTGTCTAAAATGTGTAATTAACGATCTAAAATACAGATCGGAAATAAGAACCTGCTATTCAAATAATCAACACTGTTTAGTCCAAAAACTAAACAGTGGACATTTGTAACATAAAATTTTAAAATGTATTGAAATACTTCATGTTTTAAAATTTGTGTCTACACTCAACATCCTATTTCTAAATTTGTGTCATATGATTCATTGTCTTCTACATATCATGTTTTTGTTTCGTCTTTGTCTTTTGTGCATTCCCTAGGGTTGGAAGGAAGCTATCAATGATCCCAAGTAGAAAGCAGGTATGGTAGAAGAGATGCAAGCTTTAAGCAAGAATAACACTTGAGAGTTGGTTCCTCTTCCTATTGGAAAAAAACCTGTAGGGTGTAAGTGGGTATTCACCATTAAACAGAAAGCAGATGGAAAAATTGAACGGTACAAAGCATGACCTTTGCTCTAATAACAAAGATGAATTCCATTCGAGTTATTCTCTCAAGTGCAGCTAATTTGGGCTGGCCTTTACAGTAGTTAGATGTGAAGAATACATTTCTCCATGGTGATTTAGAGGAGGTATATATGGATGTACCACTAGGATTCTCATCTCAGTTTACAGCTGGGAACGTTTATAGGTTGAAAAAGGCTTTACATGGTTTGAAGCAGTCTCCTCGAGCTTGGTTTGACAGATTCGTTGAGATTCGGGTATAAGCAAAGCAATGCTGATCACACAATGTTCGTCAAATGCCATGCAATTAAGGTAAGTGTGCTTATAGTATATGTGGATGACATAGTTGTGGCAGGTAATGATGAGAAGGAAGTGACACATTTGAAGATGCTATTGGGTAAGGAATTTGAGATCAAAGACCTTGGTCCGTTAAGATACTTTCTTAGGATTGAAGTTGCTAGATCAGACAAAGGTATCTTTATTTCTCAGCGGAAGTATATCCTAGATTTTCTTGAGGAAACTGGCATGTTAGGCTCTATGTTACTAGAAAACACTAATACCCTAGCGAATTACGTATTGGTACGCACGTTCTGAAATATGGTACACTTCAGTTCTAAAATGGTAAATTTAGTGATCTAAAGCGATCTCAAAAGTTTTTTTTTTAATGTCCTTAAATGTTACCTTAGGAGGGAAAAAAAAAAATATAATGAATTAAAATCTAAGGTGAGTTAAGTTTTGACAAGGCAAAAACATCAAAAAAATGGGTCATAATACTCATAGAAAATATTACATTTTAGTAAATGTCTAATACTTTAAAAAAAAATTACTCTAGAAGTACCTTAAATTTTTAAATATAATATATAGTAGTCTACCCCTATCGTACCACATTTTAGAGCATGTGGTGTACCACGTTCTCGTTCCCATTCCACGTATCAGAATAATCCACGCTCTAGGTGACATAGGTTAGGCTGCCGACCAACTAATTCACCAATTGAGGCTAATCACCATCTTTGTAGTGGTGTTGGTGATCTTGTGGAGAAGGAAAGGTACCAGCGACTTGTGGCAAGACTTATATATCTATCCCACACTTGTCTAGATTTTGCCTATGCGGTTGAGATAGTGAGTCAATTTATGCATGAGCCTCGTGCACCTCATTTGGATGCATTGTATCGCATTTTGAGGTATCTTATATCTGCTCCTGGAAAAGGGATTTTATTTTCCAATCATGGTCACTTGAGGTTGGAGGCATTCACAGATGTTGATTGGGCTAGTTCTATAGATGACATGCGATCTACCTCCGGTTACTGTGCATTTGTGGGTGGGAATTTAGTCTTATGATGTAGTAAGAAACAAGTAGTGGTGTCTAGATCTAGTGCAGAGGTAGAATACAAGGCTATAGCGCATGGTATATGTGAACTGATGTGGCTCCAATCCTTGTTGAATGATATTGGATTTGTTTGTAGTGAACTGTTATCACTATACTGTGACAACAAAGTTGACATTAGTATTGCTCACAATCCTGCTTAGCATGACAAAACAAAGCATATTGAGATCGACAGACATTTCATTAAAGAGAAATTGAATAAGGGTTTAATATGCCTTTTGTGAAGTCTGAAGATCAATTGGCTGATGTATTTACTAAGGGTCTTAGTAGTAAGGTTTTCCACCCCATTTGCTGCAAGTTGGGCATGAGAGGTGCCTTTGCACCAACTTGAGGGAGAGTGTTAAGTATTAGTGTCTAAGGGTAGTTATGTCCTTTGTTCCTTTAGTCTTTTATTATAAATATGTGTATGGGAGAACCCTAATATGATTTGAGTATGTTAATACACACAGTCTCTCTCTCTCTCTCTCTCTCTCTCATGCAAATCTAACAATATCATTTTACTAAGAAACACAACAAATAAGTAAAATGTGTTTAATTGAATTAAGGGTTGTAGGCTGTGTGGCTAGTCCTTTGGCCACCAAGTCTCTCCTAAGGGGAGGTCTTGGGTTCCATTCTTAGGAGTGGAAATCACTAACTTTCACTAATCGAGAGAGAGAGAATGTTGAGGTGGATGTGTTAGTAAGATCATGAAATATGGAATTAGAAATGAATACATTTAGAAAATGGTTAGGAATAGCACCGTTTGAAGATAAGTTGTGAAAGAATAGACTAAGATGATTTCATCATGTACAACAAAAACGATTAGAGGCAACGATGAGGAAGTGCAATAGGATCACAGCTAATGGAAATACTAAAGGGATGGGAAGATCTAGATCGATATGGGATATTGTAGTAAAAAAAATAAAAAATAAAAAAAGAATCTACAACAAAAATAGTTAGAGGCAACGGTGAGGAAGTGCGATAGGATCACAATTAATAGAAATGCTAGAGGGAAGGGAAGACCTAGATTTATTGGGATATTGTTGTAAAAAAAAAAAAAAAAAAAAATAAAAAAATAAAAAAATAATTTAATTGGGCATATGACTCTTGATAGAGAAAAATGAAACAAAAGAGTTCATATAGCCGGGCTAAGTTGATTGGGAGTTTAGGACACAGGGTTTGGTTTGGTTATTTTCAATAGTATGATTATAATTTTTATTTTTTAATTTGTTTGGCATTTCTTGGGTGATAATTATGTGCCTTTGTTGCGTAGTGAAATTCTATCCATGAAATTTAGTAGAATACATGATAGAGTTATCCTTTTTTTTTCTTTTGAGAATATAATTTTTGACATAGCCCTCTCGGGGTTATGATGGCATGTTTTTTTTGGTTGGCTAGATTTTCTTGTGTGATCGTGATGGAGAGATTTGTTGCCTCTTGGCTTGTCTTCATGTGTTCAGTCATGTCTTGAGCATCATTGTATGTCTTTAGTTTTTTGGTATAAAAATCGCTTGCTTGCAAAAAAAAAAAAAAAAAAAACAAAAAAAAGAAAAAAAAAAGAAAAGGCAAATTACACCAATAGTCCCTATACTTTGGTTCTTTGGTCATTTTGGTCCCTGTAATTGTAATTGGCTTGATTTTGATCCTGAATTTATGATTTTATCTCAATTTGATCCAATTGATTACAACTGTTAGTATTTTCTTATGAAAAATACGCAAACAAGTGGCATGTGTCATACTTTTAGGGGAAAAATTATAAACCTGCTCAATTAAATGAGTTAACCAATTCAATGATAATTTTCCGTCAAAAACCCTAACGACTTTGTCAAGTGGACCGATACAATACATCTAGATGCATTGAATGAGGATCAAGCATAAATTGATTAGTAACTCCTGTTGCATTTGCAATATCTAGTCGAGTATGAGACAAATATATATGTAAGTCTCTCCACAAACCTCTGTACCTCTCCTTATCCACATGATCACCACACCAATGCTAAGACAATGACCAACCTCAATTGATGAATCCATGGTTGTTTGAATCATACAATTCGCTATACGAGTTGTACGATTCAATACGATTTTTACATTGGACGATACGAATCGCAATATGGAATCGTAATCTCACTGGAATCGTTTGATTCAAAGATTGAATCAAGTGTATCGTGATGAATCGCCGATACGAACTATGGGAGATGAGTGGCATATAGAAGAGATGAATAGAAGATGGAAGGAAGAAAATCTGTCGACTAAAGGGAACCAATCTGTCGATGAACAAATCTCCCATGCTTGTCCATTGTTATTCACATGGGTAAGTTTTTTTTACCAGCCTTTGTGGTCTCTTTGTAAGTCTAACAAAGGTAACTTTTGGCCTTCCTTGTGGTGCAGAAGCATTATAATATGTTGTGTTTCTACTTTGATTTCGTGGTCTCTTTATGAGTCTCACAAAGGTAACCTTTGGTTTTCCCTGTGGTGGAGAGGCATTAAAGTATGCTGTATTTCTAAATTAATGTCGTTGAAAAGGACTGGATGCCAACTTTACTTCTTTAATATCATATTATATATATTTATACACTGTTGTACAATAAATATTATATATGTAATATATAGTTGAAATTTATATTAGATAGTTATTTTTTTCATTTTAAGCACTATACATGTGATTTTATACGAACATAAATATACATGTATATATTTTATAAAAAGTATATAATATAATGTTCGATTTGATTCATGATTCATTTTTTTAGGAAATCGATTCACGATTCGATTTGCTATTTGACAACCATGGATGAATATGCTAACCCAACATGACTATTTCATTAAGAAAATCAAGAATTTACTTCTCCTGAGAAACAAAAATGCCCTTATTCGATCTGGAATCAAGCCCAAGAAATTATCTCCAAGGACCAAGATCTTTGATCACAAGCTCCTTTGCTAACTTCGCCTTGAGTTGAGTCACTTTCTCCAAATCATTGCCGGTCACCACTATGTAATCCACATATACAATAAGAGTAGTTATCTTATTCCTATCTCATTTAACACATTGTGTGATTTACATTACTTTGCTTGTACCCAAATGTCTAGATAACTCTGGGAAACCTATCAAACCATGCTCTAAGAGACTGTCTCAATCCATAAATAGCCTTCTTCAACCTACAAACTTTTCCAACAGTGGATTGAGATGAGAATCCTTGTGGTGCATTTACATATACTTTCTATTCTAAATCATCATGAAGAATGCATTCTTGACATTTGCTATTGAAATAGCCAATCCAAATAGCTACACAGGACATAAAGGTGCATATCGAAGTCATCTTTGCTAGAGGAACAAATGTCTGCTGATAGTTTGTGCTACAAGTCTGAGTAAACCCTTTGCGAACAAATCTTGTCTTGTAACTGTCGATCGTCCCATCTGCTTTCCACTGAATGGTAACACCCATTTACACCTGACTAGTTTCTTTCCATCAGGAAGAGGATCTAAATCTCAGGTGTCATTCTTGTTTAAAGCTTTCATCTCTTCTACCATGTCTTTTATCCTATCTAACATCCCTCCAAATAAGAGCCCTTTGAGAGAAAGAAAAACTGATAACTCCTATCGAGTAGTTGACTTTTTTCCCAGGTATGACTCTCATCTTGAAGAGATGGTTGAGATAAAAGAAAGAAGGGCTCAAATTCGTGAAAGGTGACATCCTTTTTAACCTACACCTTGTGAGAGAAAGGATCATAGTACTTATATCCCTTCTAAGAAGCCTAATACCTAATAAAGACACCTCGAAGCCCTAGGATCAAGCTTCCCACTAGTATGTTTTTGAATATGAACAAAGTAAACACATCCAAATATCTTTGGAGGAACAAAGGAATTTTTAAATGGAGAACACTAGAGCACATACTGTTAATAAGATAACCACATCGCCCTAAAAAAAACTTAGGAACATTCATGGGGAATGTTAGAATAGTTGTATGTTCTTATGTTATTATTTGGTTAAGGTGAGGGTACTATCGTCATGTTGCAATGTTAGGTTTTATATAAATATATTTGCTGGTGTAGAGTATGTTAAGAACTCTAAACCATTCAGTCACAATATTTTTTTCTCCTCTCTTTCTTCCTCTCTAACCCTAACCCTAACCCTAACCCTAACCCTAACCCTAAATTTCTCCATTTTATATAAATATATTTGCTGGTGTTTTGTTGGTAGTTTGTTGGTTCAGTGTTCCTTTGTTGTGTGACTTGCGTGAGTGTCATGGCTGAACCTGAGGCTGAGGCAAAACTAGCTGTGGCGGTGATTAGGGATGATGAGATGCCTAAATCTATTACTACCAAGAAATTGAATGGTTTGAACTATATGGCTTGGGCTCATGCAGTTAAAATTTTTTTACGTGGCAAGAAGTTACGTTTTCTTACTGAACTACCTCCTGCCACTGATAATACTACTTTTGTGTAGTGAGCATTCGTGTGTTATGGGGTGGATATGGCATCGCTGAGACTCTCTTGTTGCTACTACTGTGGAATTTTGTGACACCGCTAAGCAAATTTGAGACTCTCTTGCTGAGTCATTTTCGAATCAGAGTAATGTCTCTCGGGTCTATGAGTTATATGACTAGAGAAGAGAAAAAGATATTGTGACTAAATGGTTTAGAGTTCTTAACATACTCTACACCAGCAAATATATTTATTTAAAACCTAACATTACAATATGACCATAGTACCCTCAACTTAACCAAATAATAACATAAGAACATAAAACTATTCTAATAGTGAACGTGCCATAAAGAGTCCAATCTTTCCTTAGAAACCTCCATAAACCACTTATCAAGCAATGCAATATTCTTAACAACTATGTTACCGAAAACCATAACCTCCCTTACATTTAGGAAGAGAGACAACATCCCAACAAATCAAATGCTCCTTCGCTTCCCGACTACCCTCCCACAAAAAAGCCCTCGTTAACTTCATAATCTTATTGGCAACTCCCAATGGAACTCTAAACAAGGAAAGAAAAGAAAAATAGTAGGCACTTATGGATGATGTTTGTGTGGAGGTGTCGGTCGTTGACCTCTAGGAAGATGGCAGGCACTTCAATGATTTGAGATCATTGGAGGTGGAGAGAAGGAGGCCAAGGCAAGCTTGGAGAGGGAGAGGTTGGCAGTGATGGACCTTGAACACTAGTGTTTAAGTGTGTATTCAAGTGTGAGTATGAGTGTCTAAGACGTGTGTTGTGAATATGTGTTGTAGTTGTGATTTGATGTTGTAATTGTGTGTTTGCCTGTTGCATATATGATATGTTACATAGGCTCCTAGAGTATTGAAGCCCAAACAACCTGTTGGATAGGTGGCTTGGATAGGTGGCTTCTTCTTTCCAGTCTTACGAAAAGCTAATATAAGCCCTACTGCCATCTGTGTTTTGATGGCAGGCGGGAGAGCAACATATCATGGCTGGCGAAAAGCAACATATCATGCATGGATCAGGTGGTGTGAGTGTAAGGAGACAACCATCAAGATGGAGTTGACTTAGCAAGAAGACAACCATGTTGACAATTCCATGACCTTAGTTACTAGCCCAAGATCCTCTAATGATCCCTAGTGGTGATGCCTGGGTCCTGCTCCCAACCCAGGCAACCAAGTAAGCGAATGGGCCGGGGGCCCATCTTAATGTTTAGGAGAGCCAAGGGCTTGCTCTTATCTATCCAAGTCCAATGTATGCAAGTAGGCCGAGGGCCTGATTATATTGTTGTTTGGACTTGGAGCGAGGTACGAAAGAACCATGGGTTTGCAGGAGCCATGGTGCTGCCTATTGCAAGGCTCTTCATACTTGGACTTATGTGCATGCTCCCGCTTAAGCTAAGCATATAGTAAGGTCTTGCATGGTGGCTTGTCAGTTTGCCATGCAAGCGGCGTGTTGATGACATGATGCCCGAAGGGCTCACCATGTATTGGGCATGTGATACATCTGCGTGGTGCCTTGTCGATTTGCCCTGTAGGCGAGGCATTGATGATGTAGCACCCGTAGGGCTTGGCACGTATCGGGCGTGATACAAATACCCATAACACCAACAATTAAATAGTTTTATTGTTAAACGCTATAATTTTAGCAACACTTCCTGTGAAACCTACTAACGTTAGTTCTTGGCACTATCAAGCCATAAGCTTCAAGGATGCTTCATCCCTCAAGTATCACAAGTTTAAACTAGTTCCATACTTGAAGTGAGAGAATTTTGCAACTTTATCTGAGCATTCCTATGATCCTATTATACATTTAGATGGTTTGGTAAATTTCAAATATCAAAGAGTTATAATGGTTGTGTTGCCTTCTTGTAGCTACATAGATGCGTATTTTATTTTTCTTTCTTAGGCTTGCATGTCTAATGATTAGTTATGGTTTACACTGCATTCAAATGACATGTCTATCTTGGCTTGCAGGTAGCTTTGCTGAAATTTACAGGTTATAAAATCATAAATAATATTTCAGACACTGGGAAGGCATTTCTTATTATACTTATCACAGATATTTTTTTAGGGTAATGGTTCTGCTCTTTCTTGAGAAGCATTAATTTGCATGTTCCCATTAATTTGATTTATTTGCAAAGCTAAGTTCATTCATGTCGGCTTACAGATAAATTTTAATCCAAATGAAATATGCACTAAAAATAATTTGATGTTGACTTGGATTCTACAAAAGTGATATGGAATGAAGAACCTAACGGACGTTCCTTATTGTACATTATCAAGCTTTCACTTGAAAAAGTTTTTCCTTTGTTATCTTTAAGAAATTTTTTAATTGAGAAAGTTGTTGCAAACTTATGAAATTGCAAACTTGCAGATACCATTCTGAATCTGGTTGGCAGACTTTATTAGAGATAATTATTGAGCATTATGGCCTTGAGATTGATCAGTCTGCCGTAACCATATTCATCTGCCTAATTCCAGTTATCATTGATGCATGTGTGAAGCTTTGGGTATGTTCTACAACTGAAATATTTTTCCATGTTATTTTTTTTTTGCAAATCGTATTTCATACCACTAAGTGTTAAGAATCTGCATTGGACGTGTATCTCTTTACTGTTTGTTAATTTCTATGTTTTGTCTGCATGAATGTTCTATGCGGGAACATACCTGTAACCAATGGCAGACGCAGAAATTATAGTAAGAAGGGGCCAAATTATATGCATTTAAACTTGACATCAAAATTCTAATTATTTTATTAATATCATGAGCATCGTTCAAAAGTTATACTAAAAGATACACTTTTTTTTTTTTTTTTTTGTGTGTGTGTGGATGACAACGTTAAATTTGCAACTAGACATACAAAATAAAAACAGCAAAAGAGGATTATATAGGTACTTTCTCGATGTTGTAAAATACAAAAAGGATGAAAAAAGAATGAGTCCAGTTGTAGACACCATTGACTTCAAATTCTATAATCCATACTGTTATAACGATCATATTTATATACCAAAAATGTTTGTCATTTTATGTGTCACTTTTATAATGATTTAATGGATCCTAAAACTCATATATGTTACCAATGTAATGGTGACACATCATGTAACAAATATAACATAATAAAAAAAAATAGTTATCGTAATATTATTATTGTATAATTTGTCTACTGATATAATTTATGGGGCCATCTGTCTATGCCTTGGCCTTGAGGGGGCCATCCTTAAGTAATCTACAGGGCATGAAGCAAAAACAGTATCATACATTATAAATTTGTAGGGGGCCACTGCCCTCCCTGGCCCCCCTTTTGGTCAACCAATGCCTGTAACTTGTTGCTTTACCACGGGAAATGATATCTAGAAAAAGCAATAATAGGAACAAAATTCTGTAAGAGTTTTCATTTTTTTTTTTTTTTGGATCCGTTTCTGACATCATATTCCAAAATGAGTTTAGTAATCGGATCAACTGGTTGAAAACATTAGGTTCTTTGTTAAGATTAAGGAATATGACAGACAAGTGGATTCTTCAATCTTTCAGCTGCCCTGATGTTCTAAATCTGGTGATTGTAGGGATTGACAGCTGGACACATCAGCACTGGCATGTGTTCCTGAACACATGTAATAATAAAACAATGCTTTGTTACCTAAATCTCCACCTTTTCTTGTCAAGAAATCAGTATTAGCTCTTGTATACATTAAAATCCATTCCTCCAGTATTTGATAGTTGTAGGATCCACTCCACTTATATATACCTATATCATAAGTCTTTCACAGAATGTTGGTCTTGCCAATGTGGGGGAGCTGATATCTGTGAAACTATGTGTGCCAATTGCAGATTTTGTTGAACATCAGGAGTGAGATTTAGATGAGTGTGTCTGATTGATTTTCATGTGGGTATCAGGTGTAAGAAGTCCGAAATAATTTGTGTATATTCAATTGTGTAATAATACAAAGAGTATATCTGATTTATATAGCAATTCTAGGCCTAAGACTAAATAGAAAATAAATGAACAGCAGACAAGAAGATACAGTATGAAGGAGAAAAACATGTATTAGAAAACCAAGCTTTACCACCTGAGTTTGTTAGCAAAGGGGATACTGACGGGTAGCAGGATCAATGTCATCAGAAATAGGAGGATCAACAGCAGGGAAGGAGACAACTGGTGGGGAAAGAGCCTTACGACGAGAATAGACTAACAATAGAGGAGGAGGAGGAGGAGGAGGAGAAAGGGGAACAAGCTCAGGGAAGGCAATAGAGATGTACTCATCAGGACGGGGGAAGGAGGCAAGGGGTGTTGTTGGTGCTCGACGAAGATCTTGAGTTGGAATGTTTGAGGACTACAGTCCCGTAGGAAAATAGTGGTGATTAAAGAGTTATTGAAAATTCTCCAACCAAATATTGTGATGTTTCTAGAGACAAAGAGCGAGGTATGTGATAGGTCTTTCATTAGGAGTGTTTGGGTGGTTCAAGAGATGGGCTGTTTTTGTTAGAATAATATATTATTATTTGGGCTATTATTTTTGTAATTATTCTATACCTTAGGGCTCCCTTGTAATTATTAATTTTATTAATATAAATAGGGGATGAAACATTCCTCACGTGGTAAGACTACAATACTCATTGTTTATGTGGATGATATAGTTCTTACAGGCGATGATAGTGAGGAAATTCCTCTATTGAAGAAATATTTAGCTAGTGAATTTGAAATCAAAGACTTGTGGAGCTTGAACTATTTTCTGGGAATTGAAGTTGCTTGCTCCAATGATGGGATATTTATCTCATAGAGGAAGTATGTGCTTGATTTGTTGAAGGACACTGGGATGCTTGGCTACAAGACCTGTGACACTCCAGTGGAACACAATTAGAAATTAGGGGATGATGAAGGAGGAGCAACTGTTGATAGGGGGAGCTATCAATGATTAGTGGGTAAGTTCATTCAGTGTGGTTAGCCAGTTTATGCATGCTTCTCATCAGATTCACTTCGAGGCTGTCATGAGAATTTTGAGGTACTTGAAGTCTGCTCTTGGTAAGGGTCTTTATTTTTCAAAGTATGATCATCTTTGTGTGGAAGCCTATACAGATGCTAACTGGGCTGGATCAATGACTGATAGGAGATCGACTTCAGGGTATTGTACCTTTGTTGGAGGCAACCTAGTTACTTGGAGGAGTAAGAAACAGAATGTGGTTACTTGGTCAAGTGCAAAAACTGAGTTTAGAGCTATAGCAACTCTTATGGATCAAGTTATTGTTGAGTGATCTAGGTATTGTTCAGACGGACTCCATGCGGTTATACTGTGATAATAAGGCCGCTATCAACATCGCTTACAATCTAGTTCAACATGACAGGACAAAGCATGTTGAGATTGATTACCACTTCATCAAGGAGAAACTCACTAGTGGCACAATATGTACTTCTTTTGTGCAGTCTGGTGAACAACTTGCTGACATTCTCACTAAGGGAGTTGGGAGTAAGCCACTTCATAACATCTTAGGCAAGCTGGGCATGAGAGATATTTTCGCACCAGCTTAAGGGGAAGTGTTAGAATAATATATTATTATTTGGGTTATTATTTTTGTAATTATTCTATGCCTTAGGGCTCCCTTGTAATTATTAACTTCATTAATATAAATAGGGGATGATATCTTAATCATTCTCTAATCTGGGTATTCTCTAAAAGTAACAGTTTCACCTTCATGTGGGAGATCAAGGGGGAATTTCAATTATGTGGGACGAGAGAGTTGTATTGGAATGTGAGACAATCTTTGGGGGTTTTTTAGTGTCCATTAGGTTTTGGAATCGAGATAACAATGAATGGTGGTTGACAGGGGTTTACGGTCCCAATAGGCCTAGAAGTCATCAGGAATGGTGGGAGGAGTTGGCGAGTTTATTTGGGCTTTTCTTCCTTAATTGGTGCATGAGTGGGGATTTCAATGTGGTTAGGCTTGTTTTGGAAAAGCTCAATGGGGTTTCTGCGAATAGAAGTACGCGGGATTTTGACTCTTGTATAAGAGAGTGATTTTATTGATCTTCCGTTGAGTAATGCTCTGTTCATTAGGTCTAACCTTCAAGAAAATCTTGTGTGTCGTCGGTTGGACAGATTTCTTCATACACTAGGTTGGAAGGAATTGTTTCCTGATTTTAGGCAAGAGGTTATGCCTAGAGTTGTTTCGGACCATTGCTTGGTGATTTTTTTTTTTGTGCAGTCTGGTGAACAACTTGCTGACATTCTCACTAAGGGAGTTGGGAGTAAGCCACTTCATAACATCTTAGGCAAGCCGGGCATGAGAGATATTTTCGCACCAGCTTAAGGGGAAGTATTAGAATAATATATTATTATTTGGGTTATTATTTTTGTAATTATTCTATGCCTTAGGGTTCCCTTGTAATTATTAACTTCATTAATATAAATAGGGGATGATATCTTAATCATTCTCTAATCTGGGTATTCTCTAAAAGTAACAGTTTCACCTTCATGTGGGAGATCAAGGGGGAATTTCAATTACGTGGGACGAGAGAGTTGTATTGGAATGTGAGACAATCTTTGGGGTTTTTTTAGTGTCCATTAGGTTTTGGAATCGAGATAACAATGAATGGTGGTTGACAGGGGTTTATGGTCCCAATAGGCCTAGAAGTCATCAGGAATGGTGGGAGGAGTTGGCGAGTTTATTTGGGCTTTTCTTCCTTAATTGGTGCATGAGTGGGGATTTCAATGTGGTTAGGCTTGTTTTGGAAAAGCTCAATGGGGTTTCTGCGAATAGAAGTACGCGGGATTTTGACTCTTGTATAAGAGAGTGATTTTATTGATCTTCCGTTGAGTAATGCTCTGTTCATTAGGTCTAACCTTCAAGAAAATCTTGTGTGTCGTCGGTTGGACAGATTTCTTCATACACTAGGTTGGAAGGAATTGTTTCCTGATTTTAGGCAAGAGGTTATGCCTAGAGTTGTTTCGGACCATTGCTTGGTGATTTTTGAGAGTTGCCCCTTTAAATGGGGGCCAACCCCTTTTAGATTCGAGAATATATGGTTGGAAAATCGCTCTTTTAAGGCTTATTTTAGAGACAGGTGAGAGAGTGGAAGAGTTCATTTCTCTGAGGGATTCAAGTTTATGTGAATGTTGAGAGATTCAAGTTTATGCGAATGTTGAGAGGGGTATTAAGGAATTGGATGCCAAGGAGTCTGGGGAGGCCATATGGGGCTTTAAGGGATGAGAGATCATTGCTCAAAATGAAGTTGGAAGAGCTTGTTTTTAGGGAGCAGATTTTTTGGGGGCAAAGAGCCAAGTTGAAATGGGTAAAAGAGAGCGAGACCGATTCTAGTAGGCAAAACCCGACAATCTGAAAATGAGGGTTTGAAGCCAAGTTCCCAAACTCAATTTCAAGCCCAAATCATGCAAAACTAGCTCAAAAACATGATATACTAACATGATTGAAGTGTAATTTCAACTCAAACACATCAATCTTGCCTCAATGTCAAATTCAAGGTCTCATCTTTTTCATACATTCATGAATTACATAATCAAGCTCAAAATACATATAAACATGGATGATCTTTATACAAATCTTTGTTGTATGAACAATCTAGAGCTTATTTCATGAAACATTCACAAGATTGAACTCAAATCAAGCAAAGTTAAAAGAGATTAATGCTCCATTTCTTTAACTTACTCTAAATTCAAAACCCTAACTCCTTTAGGTGTTGAATCTTCAAATTCCTCTTGATTTCAAGCAAGAGATGAGTTATTTACAAGGATTCTAGATAGATCTCCATACCTTTGCTCAAATCTAGGAATTCCCTTTGAATCTCTTCCAAATCTCTAGCTTCTCTTCTTTCTCTCTCTCTCTAACTCTCTCTCTAGCAAATGCTTCCAACAATAGATGAACTCAAGATGGCTATATACATATATAACTTAGGCTAATTAACCCAATTAATTCATTATGAATCGTAATTTTACAAAATTTCACAGTAGGCTCTAAAAATCATGCTAAACACAGATATGAAGTCGGTTTTGGTTTCTAGCGCCTCTAAGGCTTTCAATTTCAATGCAAAGTTCTAATTGCAACAGATATTCCTACATTCGACAAGTATGATTCCAAATTCACATAATTCACACAATTAAAAATGCAAATTCATATCAAACATATAATCCTATGCATAATTAAGCATCATATGGGTTGGGTTATCATAGCGAGTGTGAGGATTACAACATTTGTAACCCTTCTGAGTAGCAGAATAACCAAAAAAGACACAACGCACAGCCTTAGGATTGAGTTTTCCACAGTTACGAGGTTGCAAATGAACAAAACAGATACACCCAAACACCCGAGGTGGAAGAGAAGAGGTGAGATATGTTACAGGAAGCAGTTGAAGAGGAATCTAGAATTGGAGGATACTGGAAGGCATACAGTTGATAAGGTAAGTAGCGGTAAGAACAACATCACCCCAAAAAGACTTAGGGACATTCATGGTAAACAAGAGAACAAGCAACTTCAAGAAGATGGCCATTCTTGTGTTCGACAACTCCATTCTGCTGAGGAGTACCAGCACAACTAGTCTGATAAAGGATGCCATGCTCCTTGAGGTATGCTCGAAAAACTCTATCAACATCCTCAGTCCCATTATCATTCCGAAGAATTTTGATTTGAGCATTAAAAGATTGGTCACCATGTTATGAAAAGTTTGGAAACAAGAAAAAACTTCACTCTTAGTTCGAAGCAAGTAAATCCAGGTCACACGGGAATAACAATCAATAAATGTGAGAAACCAGTGATACCCAGAAGTAGAAACCACAGGGGAAGGACCCTATGCATCAGTGTGAATAAGCATAAAAGGAAAAGTACTTTTATTAATTGAAGGGTAACAAGTGCGTTTCTGCTTGGTAAGTTCACGAACTAAAGAAGGGAAAAGTTTCTCTAAGACACTAAAGGAAGGATGACCTAAATGGCGATGCCACTGATGAAGGAGAAGAAGAGGAGAGCCAGTAGTGCACTTGAGAGTCTGAGATGGGACGGCAGGAGAAACAGCATCCAAAAAGTATAGCCCACCTTGTGTTCTACCACAGCCAATCATTTTCCCCATAGTCAATTCTTGAAAGATACAATGAGTAGGAAAAAAGCTCACTGAGCAATTTAGAGAAGTAGTAAGACTACTAACAGAAAGCAAGTTAGTGGAAAAAATAGAACATGAAGTATAGATGAAAGAGAAAGCAAAGATGAACAATGAACCGAACCCTTGCTAGAGACAGATGATAAAGTGCCATCAGCCACTTGAACCTTGGCTCGACTGGAACAAGGAGAATAAGAATAGAAAAGACTAGAGGCACCTGTCATGTGGTCGGTGGCACCTGAATCAATAATCCAAGAAGGTGATAAAGATGTACTAAGAGCGCTAGCACCTGTGTGGGCAAAATTGAAAGAAGCTGGAGTGGAAGAAGCTAAGGTAGAAGGAGAATCAAGTCGAGCCATCAAACGCCTGAGAGTGTGTAACTCATCCTAGGAAAGAGTGGGCTCAGAAGAAGGGCTCGCAGCAATCTCAGATCCATGTGCGCTTGGGGACAAGCTCTACTACCATGACCGCGACCTCGAGTAGGGCGACCATTTAGTTTCCAACAATGCTCTCGATCATGTCTGTCTTTCCCACAATAATCACACTTAAGTTGATCTCACTCAACCAGTGTACAGACCAGGCCGAAGAGCTCGAGTAGGAGGAGCAATAACCAAAGCAGAACAATCTTGAATAGAGGAATGAACCATAGCACTACGTTGATTCTCCTCTTGTTGGACAAGGGCATAAGCCTCGCGTAGGGTGTTAAAAGGTGAACGACCCAACACCTGGGTGCGAATCTGATCATACTCCAAGTTCAAGCCAGCAAGAAAGTCATACACGCGCTCTCTCTCCATTGTTTGTTGAAACAAAGTGGCATCCCGAGAACAAACAGCCTGGAAGCTTTGGCAATAGTTTAGTTCCTGCCACAAACTACTCAACTCAGCACAGTATGCTACAGCTGTCCAAATCTTATGAGCAGTTCTAATAAGAGGAAACTCCAACTAATGGTAGCCGCATAGAGTTGATTAGGCCAATCATAACAAGAGCATTCTCAAAAATCCATTGAGTACATAGTGAGTCATCACCATCTGGTAGGGTAAGAGAACCAGTAATGTAGCCAGTCAAACGGCGAGCAGCAATAGCAAGACTACAGGAGCATGACCAAAGCAAATAGTTGGAACCATCCAATTTAACGGGACTAATTTGAAGAGAGGTATTGTTGTTAAGAGTAATAACACGACGCAACCCACCCTCATCACTAATTATATCCTTGTCTCACCTTCAGCCATTGAAGATTAAATCCCCACCATAGGAAAACACATACCAGCCCAAAACTAGCAAAAACAAACAGAGGCAAATTCACAAACTCAACTTGGGGGCAAAAGTTACCTTTAGAGACAAAAACAGAGCTGAAACATGGGCTAGAGAGGCAAAAATCAATCAGAAACTGAGAGAAACTGTGCTGAAACTAAGGAAAACCAACAAAAATAGAGTGAAACCTTGCCAAATCATCAAAACCAGGTCTTCTAGCCTTTTGACAATACTAGTCGGTTCCCAAGGTAGAGGGAGGAAGGGAAGAATCAGCCAAAAAACAGCCCCAGCAAAAACTTCCGAAAAATCCAACAGTTTTTCCAAAAAATCAACAAAAATTGGAAAAACACTCAAACACTCGTCAAAAAATTAAAATTAAAATCTAGGGTGAAAACCCATCAAATTTCGACCATGAAAGAATTTTTTTTTTTTTTTTTGGATTTTCTTTTTTCTGTGTAAAGGGAAGAAAGAATGAAACAAGGAACAAGAGAAGAATCTTCAAGGAGGAAGATGAAGCTCTGATACCATGTTAGATTTGCATAAAAGAAAAGAAAAGAATGAGAAGAAGAAAAGAGAGAATTGCTGCTGTGTTTAGTTTCTCACCTTAAAACATATTAGGGTTACACATACTTATAATAAAGACTAAAGGAGCAAATGACATAACTACCCTTACACACTAATACTTAACAGATGTTTTCCTTACTAGTCCAACCATCACCGCCTTACCTTCTCCAGTCTTGAACCCAAAACTTTAAGATTTGGCTCCAAATCTTCTCACAGTCTGAAGGCCGACATTGGATAATGCGTTTGTTTCACACTATGCGACCAACTCAATCTCAATGTTCTATCTTGACCAACATAGGTTGGTTTTTCAGATTCGGAAGGCTATGAAGCAGTAGAGTTTTGGATGAGTTCAGTGGCAACTTAGGTCTTATTTTATTTATTTATTTTTTGTTCTTAAATTTTTAGTTTGTTGATGTAATAATCCTTCCTGTGTAGAAGTTTGTTTCCCTTCCTCGTGAGGGCCTTTTCTCCTATGAAGACTTAGATCCTTCCTTCTATGGAAGTTGTTTATCTATTTTTGATATCTTGTGATACCGTTGCACAAGATTGATTTGATCTTTTAATGGTTTTGCAATGAAGATTTTCTTTCTTTTATATATATATATATATATATAAAAGAAGAATCGTCCCGTACCTTTACCCAAGTGTCAGACAATGTCAAGTGTCTGACATAGGTACTCCATACACAATAGAAAAGTCCATGTAACATAGGTATGAGAAAAAAGGTGTTAGAATAAAATTTGCTTGAGTTATATATATTTGCCTATTTGTAGATTCTAACGTACTGTGGTGTAATACACTAATGCTCTAAGCTTGATACTAGTATGTTTGATGCTATCGTGTAGCTATTGACCTCTACCCTTTACACTGGATTCAGTTCCTTATTTCTGAATCAAATTATTTCCCCCCCATCCCACTTAATTCCCAAAATGTGTTCTGGGATAAGGGTTACTAGTTATATGCAGAAAGTTGCAATTATGCAACTTCCAACACATTCATCATGTATGATCTGGTATTATTATTGGAAAACCTTGGCCAGCATGCTGATGATTAATTGATCAAATGAGTTCACTAACAGCTAAGGAACTCAACATGCTTTTCTACTGAGAGTTCTGTTTCAAATTGTAAAATTTTCCAGTCACTTTTTATATTAGTACATGGTCTTTTTTGTTATGAATATATATTTTTCATATGCATTATTATTCTAATTTTTTTTTTTAATTTTTTTTTTTCAGTTGTTTAAATTCCTCCCAAGGTTATCCCCAAAGGTGGCAAATATTTTCCAGGAAATGAAGAGGCACTAGAAAGAATTTTTATGATTTCTGGATTTTGTGGCCATGACCAAACAAATTCTGTGGCCATCACCAGACAAAGGTACTACTATATAATTAATTTTTGTATTCATTCAATGCTCTACATGGAGTATGGAGTATGGAGTTAGGGAGACAGCTTTCGGTGTGGCTGAAATGTAGCTTTGTTCTTCTTTCTTTCTTTCTTTCTCAGTTGCTTGGATTTAGCGGCCAATTCACATTGTTTACTCATAATACAAAGTTTAAAAACCACTATCTTTTTGTACCCATTATAGGGTGTTACAGAATTCCAGATTTCCCAATTTCACATGTTGACTTTTAGATAATTCTCTATAGGAAATAATAAAAAAAACTGCAAACTGGTCCAATCCAAACCAAACAGCACGGTTTGGCTTGGTTTCTCAATGCGCGGTTCGGTCTTGGTTCTTAAAATAGGCAATCGTATTATTTTATGGTTTGGTCCGTGATTTTATAGTTATGGTTTCTGTTTAGAATCAAATCGGATCGTTTAGCCATATATATTGTTATTTATCAATACTCGATTACCTTATTAGTATGTCATATATATTCGTCAGTCATTAACCCTATATTGTTGTAAGTGTGCTCTTGTATAATTGTGGAACTATTTCAAAACAATCATTTAAATAATTCTTGTTTGTAAAATAATGACATTATTTGATGTTTGAGTATGTTGTGATCATATTATGAACAATGACAAAGTTTATAAAAATTGTGGTTCCAAATCAAACCGAACCACGTTTTCATGGTTTGGTTTGATTTGGTCTTAAGATTTTTATGGCTCGATTTAGTTCTAAATTTTGTGAAACTATAGGTAGTATCCAAGGAAGCACGAATATGGATACGGATACGGATACGGATATAAGATACGGATATGGTACGATATGGATACAACAAAACTTATAAAAGTAGGATACAGGTACGGCTAGTATATGTTTGTAAAAAAATTAGTGTTAAAATTATTAGTAGTGAGTTACATAAGCTCAAGAATGTTGAGAAATAACACTGGAATTTATAATATAAAATACTAATATTTAAAAATTAGATATTAATTTTACTATTGTTATATTTTTTTGTTATTTTTTACTTTTTATGTAGTTAGTTATACGGGACATGCATGATACAGTAAGGATACACCAATTTGATAAATTTTATTACATTTAACTCACTATGTTCTTATCAAAGAACTAAGCAGAGTATAGAAAAATATTATTGTATTATCCTCACAATTATAATACTACACAAGAAATGTTATAATTGTAATTTTAATTGTAATTTCCTAAAACAAGTAATATGTAACTTGGAGTATCTGATATTTTAAAAATAAGTATATGATACTTTAAGATTAATAAAAAATTAATTAAAAAATATTCCATATTTTTAATAAGTATTCGATATGTATTCGAGAGTATTCAAAAGAGTGTCAATATCCAATACGGATACGATCCGTCTCCTTTTAAGAGTATCAATGCTTCATAGGTAGTAATTTAGTCTTGGTATCTGATCCGAGCCTCAAGTCTGAAGCATTGGTTTATACCAAACAAGTTGATCTCTTTTTCCTCGAAAACAAAAAAAAGTAGATGCCTTTAAGCAGCAGGCCTGAGTAAGCAAATTGAAAATTTTGCAAACTGAATCGGTCCAAATTAATCCGGTAGGTTTATTTTGAATTTTTTTAATTTGTGGTTCGGTTCTGATTTGGAAAGTTGAGAAACTGGTTTGCGTGGATTGGTTTCAGATTTAGGTCCACGGTTCTGGATTTGAACCCAATAAGACTATATAACTTTAACTATAAATATTTATTTTTTAGGTATTATATTTGTTTAAGTTAATGGTAGAACAGTATGTATGTTTATGTTTTGAAAAAATCATGAATTGAACAATGTTTAATGTTATGTTTTTCTTAATTGGAGAATATTATGAGAGTAGTTTGTTTAATGGTCATATTATTATTATTTTTAAAATTTATGATAGGAAATTCTATTTCTACACACCTAGTTACTTTAGTGCACATACTTAGTAAAATATTATTTTAATGACAATTATATCCTAAACTAAAATGATCATAATGGACATCCATCAACACTCATAATATTATATCAAAATATTCTCTATACACATCTTTTAACAACAAAAAAAATCTCAATGTACATCTTTTGAGTAAAAAAACATTAAATCATAGTTTCTTCATTATTTGTAACTTCTTCCATTGTTTCTCACTTTACTTGCTGCACACTCTATACTCCACTATCGCTTGTAAAGCAACACTGTCATAACAACTCTCATATTGCTTTACTCTCTAGGTTTGTACTCCATTATTTATATCGTTTTCTCCTTAGTTCCACAATTACTCTTGATTTTGTCATAGAAGCGTTACAAACTAATGGAAGTTCAAAATCAAGTAAAAATATGCCTGGTGATAGCAAAGCCAGTAATTAAAAGGCTAGTTTTTTTGTGTAGTAGTTTTTTTTTTATATTTTTTTTATACGATTAGTTTGGAAAACCAATGCCGAAATATTATATTTTATTCAGAACTACAGTATCGAACAAATCAATATATTTCGAAACTACAGTGTCAAACAAATCAATCTATTTCAAAAACCAAGTGTCGAATTAAAAAATAAATTTTGGAAAACCAGTGTCGAATTTCCAAAATCACAACTCTTCAAGAAAAAATGAGGGTTTATTCTAATTTGTCAATGCACTCCACTAAGAAAACAAAATGGTACCAAATGCGATAACGAAATCGAAACAAAGTAATAGTTCCCTTCAATAGATTTCGGAACTAGAGTGTCGAATGGAGGAGGCTCTTCAATGGAGTTAGTGTCAATGGAGGGTCTCAGGTGAAGTCTTTTCAATGGAGTTTCATTCACTGTCTTCACTGTGAATTGAAATAAGGCAGACTGTTGCTCTTCAATTTTAAATAGGTGTGGAAAGAGTATTGAGTGTGTGAAAGATGATTGTGGTAGTGTGTGTATAAGATATGAGTTAAGGGTATGATTGAAATAATTATGAGAACAAAAATTGATAATCAAATTGCTAAGTGTGTGCATTGAAAAAAGATGTACACTAAGATATTTATGTGTGTGGAACTAGAATTTTTCTGAAAATATTATATGATTTTTCTTGTGAACAAATTATGTGAACCATGATTCTAAGCTGAACCAATCTGAATCGTGTTTGAATGGTTTCATTCGGTTCAGATTGATTCCATAATTTTAATAGTTTAGTTTGGTTTCAATTTTTATGAAATCATAGTAATGGATTGATTTTCGTTTCATCCCAAATCGATTGAAATCGGACCATGATTACTCCTTGTAGGCCAATCCATCTCTACCTAGATATGTCGGGCCATTTCTCAAAATAAACCAAACTACTAATCTATTTCTCAAACTAAGCCTAGTTTGGCCGAAATTCTCAAAATAAGCTGAAGTGTTATTCCAAAACACACTTATACCATATTTCTAGCCCAGACGCGGAAAATGAATAAAATTATAAAAACGTGGTTACAAATCACGCTTTTAATAAGATTTATACTAATTATCGAGTCAATTAATAAAACGCAGTTGAGAAACGCACAACTTGAAAACGTGTTTTGAAAACACATTTTCAATAACAATAAAAAAAACCACATCTCATACATTGGCACTCACACTCTTCTCTCACTCTCTGACACATACACCCACATCACTCTACCCTCTCTCTCTTTCACACACACTTATAATAAACAAATAAAAATAAAATTAATTAATTTTATTCATTATATTTATTTTAGTAAAACATATATAATTTTTAATATATATAAATTTTATTTTATAAAATTGAGACCAATATTAAATATATATAATAATATTTTATAATAGCAAATAATAATCAACTACATAAAATGATTATTTTTTTACTTTAATTCTTAAAATTTATTTTTTAAATAAAAATTTATTTTAGGGTTAGGATTTAGGATTTAAGATTTATACAACAATAAATTTTAAGAATTAAACTATAAATTCTAAATCCTAAACCCTAAACCCTAAAATAAAATAAATAAATTTTAAGAATTAAATCCTAAATCCTAAAAAAAAATAAATTTATAAATCCTAAACCCTAAGAGTCTAAATCCGACAAATCTTTTGGAAAATCGATTTTGAATCAAATTGCCAAAAATGGACTGCTTTGCCAGATACAAAGTCGCTACCTAAATGTTTTTGAGAAATTTAGGAAACCCATGACTCGTGCCAAAGGCTACGTGTCCGTCATCACCTAGATTGTCTCGACTCGGGAACTTAAGTACAATAGGGGAAGGTCATGAATGAATTTGAGCACTCCGCTTGCCCGATCAAAGATCGGTCTCTACTAATTATGATATGAATCCTATGTACATTATATGTTCTTGTTCTGGTTTATTAGGCTAGCATTACTATGTGATGCGCACACACATAAGTATAGACTAAATTGCAAAAATTGGAACATTTGATTTCGTGTTTGTTTTGAAAATGGTTTCGAAATATGTACCACTTGAAAAAATGATCGCATATGAACATTACTCAAATTATTCCAATTCAAGCAATTAGCCTTCATCCACAGGCATTCAAAATACTTTATCATTTAAGCATTTAGCCTCATGGTAAACATGCTAGATATGGCAACAATCACACGTATGCGATATGCTAAAGCGAATAAAGGCTCACTTAGTACTCCAAGCCAAAACAAATAAAAAAGTTAGAAAAAAATGCATGATTCCTAACTATGCAATATGACTAATGCAACACATGCAACATGCAATTAATAGACTCCGCTACTAATCATGGCATATGAATAAATTAAGTAGTATGCGGTCTAAGCACGTATTCAAAGAATGTATTAAACTGATAATGCAAGTTAGAGTGATGAACCGAGCCTCGGTGCATGCAATACAAATGGATGCAAACATGAGATATGCCAAAAGAAACATGATGTCTCTAAACTGACCATCATAAGCTAGTAAATAAAAGGGAGAAAGATGTGGGGTTAGAAGACATACACATTATTACATTGCGCTCTCACGAAGGAGAGTTCGAATAAACTAAGCTAATTAACTAACTAATTAAAGCTAAGGTAATTATTACAAAACAAATGAAATTAGCTAAACTACTTAACTAATTATTACAACAAATAAATCTAACTAACTATTCTAGTTAACTAACTAATTACAAAACGAAATTGAATAACTAATTAACTAACTAATTAGTTACAACACTTTAATTACAACAATTAAACTTAGCACATGCTCGGCACGCGAGGAATGCTCATGCACATGCTTAGTTTCCACCCGAAAAGCCGTTGTTTCGTTTCCGGAGAGCCTCTATTGCAAAATAGAACAGTAAAACTATTGCCCACATCCAGAATAACTCTACTCTTCCTGACAAACACACTGTTGAATTTTGCATTAGCGGCCCGCCGACCAGCGATGAGGGTTGCTGGTCACTTGTTGGCTATGGAAAGTGGCTTGCCGGCCACTGCTGCCCAGTTCATTTTGCTGCAACAGAGAACAAATAGAGCATGGCGCGGTTTGGACGGTTTAAGAGTAAAATTACAAACCGAATGGCGGGTTAGTGGATTAGCGGATTGACAAATTGCGGTTTGGGCGGTTTTGGCAGATTGGCGGATTGAAGAATATTCTAACTAATTATCACACATTTGCATAATATACAACACTAATTTGTATAATATTTTTTAGATATATAACACAAAGTAATTTTACATAATATGTTTCATATATATAACCACTAATTTGTAATAAATTTTATATCTTAAATCTTTCTCACACTCATTTTTACATTGATATTTCATTGGAAGTTAAAAAATATATATGTATTTACTATAGCGGAGCGGAGCGGAGCGGTTCGGTTGGCGGATTATAAATTTTAAAGTTTAAACCGCGGTTAGCATTTTGAGTGGTGTGGATTGATGCGGATCGGTGCGGTTTTAGCGAATTGGGTGGTATTTTGCACAGCCCTATGCAGAGGGTATTTTCAAGGTTTTGTTTGCACAACTCACCCCTCCTTTTCATGAACAAATCAAAGGAGAAGTGAACATTAGCCACAAACCACCAACTCAAGCAATTTCATTGCATGATGACATATGAACCAAAATGTGCAAGTTCAATAAATGCAATGAAATGAGACTCTCAAAGCCACCTCCCTATCATGGAAGATAAAGGGAAGTGGTGACCTTGGAACCTTGAATCATTTCATCACTAATGAGTATGAAATGGTTCAAGCTTCCATGTGTTCAATTAACGTCTAATTGAACACAAACCCAATTATTATCTTGTACCATTTTAATTCCAAGTTTTAATTGCTCCATTTTAAATTACCAATCATCCTTTAATTCATTAAGTCCAATGGTGAGTTCAAGTCCTCTAAATGGAAAGAAGGCTAAAACTAAATGTTGTTTTAGGCATGAAAGAGACATCATACCGTTGGTAATAAACCCCCTAAAGGGTTGAACCATTAAGCATGACATCTCATTCTCATGCTTTAAACTAACAAGTAGTTTGAACCACTTTCAAAGCAAAACGAAAAACCCAAGAAAGGAGGGAGGTTGTAGAGATTATTAGTGTTGAAAATGAGTGAGAAAAGCATAAATAAATGCTATCAACTCAAATAAGATGGTGTCTAAGGCCTAAAACACCAAGCTCATGAGGACAATTACACTACAAGCATGCAAAACAAAGCTCAAATGCAACTAACAGCCCAAAACAATGCTAAAACAGGTTTAATACAGTGCTAAAACATGCTGGAATTGAGCTAAAAATAGTTAGATTAACAAGCTAAAACATGGCACAAACTAGGCTACTAAGCAAGACACAAGAAGGGGAGGCTAATCCCTCCAAATTTGGACTTCAAAACATAATTTTGGCCACTGAGATAACTCTGAAAAATAGTGTTTAAAAGCTCATAAAAAGATGATGCAAGGGTGGGAAACACAAGGGCAAAGGCCTCCAAAATAAGGTATAAAGAAGAGTGGATCTCCCCTCAACTTTTAATGGCCTTAACACCCAAGCTTTAGCCAAAAAACACATAGTTTTTATAGCTGAAAAATAGTTGGAAAACAGCAAGAATAATAGTAGAGAAAGCAAGCAAATAGGTAAAGCCTTATACCTCTGGAAGAGAAGAAGCAATTCAAGCAACAAAATCAAGGCAACACACCCTTCAAGAGCTTAAACTAAGCTCAAAAGTACCTCAACTCAACGATGGGAAGATTTGGTTAAGGGTGTATAGGCAAAGGCTAAGGATTTGTAGGCAAAAGTGTAAAGATTTGCTCGAGAGAGAGAGAATTGTAGAGAGAGAGGAAAAAATTTTGATCTCAAAATTGTCTAACCTTAAAACATGAGAGAGTGGTCTCCTATATATAGAAAACATAAATTCTCCTCAAGGATATCCAGCCCTACATGTGGGTACAAATGCATGCATCTATGCAAACAGTTGGCACAACTATCACAAAACATCTACAAAAGAAATTGGTGGCTGGCAAGTCACGTCAGTAGCCGACAACCAACAAGTGATGGCCGGTAAGCCACCAGAAGCTGCAGGCTTGATGAACCATGGCTTGGTCCAAAAATGAGGCAACAAGAGTGTAGGGTTTGAAAGGCTCAAAGCTGTGGCATTCCGCTAAGGGCTTCGAGCACTTGCCGAGCAAATAAACTCACCATCGGGTGTGCATGCGATGGTGTCCAAGTCGTAAGGGCCGTCAAAAATGGGGTGTCTACAGTTGCCCCTCTTTGACAGTACTCAGAGTCATGAAATGACATGAGTGAATGTCCAAGCCTGAAGACGACCCATTTTGAGAAGGCCATAAGACTTGGACAAATAATGAAGACAGAAAAAAAAAATGGTTGCGCCTACAGGCTACCTACATATCCCTTTGCAAGGAATCAAACCAGCATACTTCTAGGGCAAAATGCAAATGATATGCACAATGCAACTTTGAAAGTTGGATTCACACGCTACGTGAGGCCGGCTATGTTGAATACTCATGATCATGCAAGATGATGCAATAAGCAATAACAGATGCAATAAACAATAACGAAATAATAACACATGAATGAGCAGTTTCAAGCTTAAAAGCAAAATAGGCTGTATGCAAAAGATATAACCACACCCTAACCACGCCAAAACAAGAGACGAGGAAAGAAAACACCGCTCAGGGTTGCGTTTCACACATCCTGAGAAATTGAGAAAATCGCTCGAGGTTGTGTTTCACATGTCCCGAGAAACTGAAGAACGAAAACTGCTCGGGGTCATATTTCACGTGTCCCGAGAAATAGAAAGACCACTCGGGCTCGCGTTTCACACGTCCCGAGATACAAGAAAACCCACTCAGGCTCACATTTCACACGTCCTGAGATACAACACACCCAGGGCCGAGCGTTACGCGTCCTGAGATAAAAGAAAATCGCTCAGGTTCGCGCTTCGCACGTTCCTGAGATGGAACACGCCCAGGGCCGCGCGTCACGCTTCTTGAGATACAACAAAAATAGCTCGGGCTCGCGCTTTGCACACTCTCGAGATGAAACACGTCCAGGGCTGCGCGTCACGTGTCTTGAGATAAAACAAAAACCGCTTGGGCTCGGGCTCGCGCTTCGCACGCTCTCGAGATGAAACACGCCCAGAGCCGCGCGTCACGCATCCTGAAATACAACAAAAATTGCTCGGGCTCGCACTTTGCACACTCTTGAGATGAAACACGCCCAGGGCCGCGCGTCATGCATCTTGAGATATAACAAAAACTGCTCGGGCTTGCGCTTCGCACGCTCCCGAGATACAATAGAGGGGTGTGCGATAGATGCAAAAAATGAACGAGTGTGATAGATGCACAAAGTGAACAAGTGCGATAGATGCACAAAGTAATCATGTTAGATAGACAACTGACATAACATGGTAATTGAAAGCATGTTCTATGCAAGAAACAAAAGCATATTCTATACATGAAATAAGAGCAAGAGCATATTCTATGGGAGATACAAAAAAATATTCTACGCATGAAACAAGAGCAAGAGCATATTTTATGCGTGAATCATAACTGATGCAAGACGCGCATGCAGTATGCGTGTATGTGAAATGCATACTCTATGCAACAATATATGTAAAATGCATATTCTATGCAACAAGAGAGAATGACAAGAGATAGAAGGCATAAAATGAACAAAAGCGACATTCGATGGCACTTTCCGGTTTACCTCTCGGAGGAATTGCAATATGTTAAAAAAAAAGGGATACACCTCGTCTATGTTGACAAGTGATGAACATTGTGCGCCAAAACACAATTTTTGAGCTTCCGTAGAGACAATATGGACCCAACAATGAACCTTGCTTACACTTCTTGGGAAATAAGGACAGAAAACAGCATCAGGATACAAAGGAAGGCCATCGGCCACAAAGGGAGGCTGCTGGCCATCTGCCGGCCATGAAAAGGCCTTGCCAGCCACCAGTGTGGCATGCCGGCCACATGTTGGCCACCGATGGCAGTTTGGGGATTTTTTGGTCTTTTTGCCTCGGGTCTTTAAGTATACACCACAACACTTCATTTCCTTACTTCTCTAGGGTCGAAATCCTTCCCTTTTTCCCTCTTTAGATCCGAGCTTTGTATACGTTTTCCAATGTCCTACGCACATTTTCTTTGCTAAACCCTCTTAGTTCTCCTCACTTTGAACTGTTTGAAATTTGATTTCGGCACTTTTTCCCTCATTTTCACCCTTCTAGGCTTGTTCCCCTCGAGTTTCTCTCGAGTTTCGTAAATTTTTCTGAACTTTGACTTTTTCTTCCATTTTCTCTTTCCTAGGGTTGACTTTTTCCAAGTTTGCCTTATTTTCCCCATTTTTCTTCACTTTTCACCTACTTTTCACCTATTTTCTAGATGGCAGATAATTCACCACATGATAGGGCTCCCTCAGAGATTCCCCTCGTATTTCCACCTATTGCTGAGGCAGAGGAGCCGGTTGCTGGCGAGGCTGGCGAGGCGGCTCAGGATATTGAGGCCGACCTTGAGGCAGAGTTTGAGTCTGAGCTTGAGCTGGAGCCACTACCATTGAGGGTACAACCTTTTGATCTAGCGAGGTACCATCCTCGGATACATATCTTGCCAGCTGGTGGCATTAGGTGCTCTAGCGACTTTGTTCTTGGTGTACCGCCTATTATGGGAGCCAGCCTCTCATCTGTCAGCCATTGCCGTTGAGGTATGAGCTCTATTTTCATGTATTCCTGCCTTTCTTTACTTGCATTTCTTGCACTACTTTTTATCTGACTGAACTTTCATCACTGCCTTATTTGATTCATCATTTCTTTGCCATAGGGCGAGTCTCGTGCCTGTAGATGGTACGGAGATACGACTGCGCGAGATTGGTACGACGAGCTCCCTGTAGGAGTTTGTGATATTGTGGACGAGACTGGCTTCGGCCTTTTCTGCTCTAGCTTGACGCGGGTCATTGCTAGCCGTCCTCTTTTGGGAGCACTAGTCGAGAGGTGGTGGGACACCACCAACTTCTTCCACTTCTCCACTACCGGGGATATGACGATGACTTATTACGACTTCGCTATGACCACTGGCTTAGGAGTAGGGGGTGATTTGATCCCTTTCAACAGACATGGGGAAGTGGAAGGCCGCCTGGATCGAGTTGCTAGGAGCACGCCCATCTTTGTACCGGACATATATGGTCAAATATAGCTGGTTCGCTGAGTAGTTCAGAGGGAGCGAGCCAGTGACATTAGAAGAGATGGAGTAGTACGCCAGAGGCTTTCGGATGTTCATCCTCGGTACTACCTTGTTCTTGAACAGGTGGAATACCGTGGGCTTGTATCTGCTGAGTGCCCTGGTGACCCTTCCTCGGGTATGTTTCTATGATTGGGGCAGAGCTGACCTCGCCACCCTGTACGGCTATATGAGCTCTACCTCCCGCTTGAGGGGAGAGCTAATCGGAGGCTACGTACGAGCTTGGGAGGTATGCATTTCAGTTCCCTCTTTACACTTTACATTTTCTACTCTGCATTTTCTACTTTATATCTGTTCAACACCTATACTTTCTACTTTACACTTTCTGTATCTGTTCATACATTGTGTTCACATATCACTGCATTTTCTCTGCAGCTGTGGGTGTATTCTTATTTCCCTACTCTTGCCCTAGAGCCCATGAAGGAGCTCCTACTGGTAGTCCCTTACTCGAGGCGGTATGATGGTAGGTGTCAGCGTAGGACTCGCGAGACCTTCGTATTCTTCCGGCACTATTTCGACGCAGTGGCTGCCCACGAGGTAACCCAAAACACAATCATTTTTGCTTTACAATTGTCCTAATTCACACTTTAGCAATTGACAGTAACTAACAATCTGTACACGTTGCAGATCATGTGGCAGCCCTGGGCCATGATGCTGGCTGGGATAAGGGACCAGTACACCGGGGCTTGGGCCACTTCTCGTTTCCACATTCTACTTGAGGGCCCAGTCTGCCGGGCCTGGTTCCTGAGTGAGCGGTTCGTTCGTCAGACCGTGGGCTTGTCAGACCCGATCACTCCGATGCCACCACCAGAGTCCATGAGATCAGGAAAACAGCCTATCTGTTGATGCAGTCACTCAGTTTATAGTGGGCTTGGATGCTGATTATTTCAGGTAGAGGGCGACTATGCGACCTTTATTCAGACGCACCTCATGCCACTTCTAACAGGTGCTCGTGGAGGCGAGGGGGCAAGGGCTCTTGTAGCGAGAGAGGCGCGTAGGGCGACTAGGGCTCGTGCTAGAAGGGTTCCTCGTGAGGGGCAGATGACCCGTTGGCTAGAGCTTCCTACCACGCTTACATGTTGATGGCATACCGGGGCTGCTTACTAGATTCCAATCGAGTCTGTAGCAGCTGATCATGAGCTTGTCGGGGTTTGAGGCTCGACTAAGGTATGGACCATACTTTACAATTTGCACCCCGCATTTCATTTCAGATATGTTTATTGCGAACACTGATCATCCAAATGCATTTGCAGGCATCCATAGAAGACACAAGGGGCACTCTCGAGTTGATAGCTTCTCTGATGGGCATGGTACAGAGGAGAGAGACGCTGCTTGGCCTCTACGATATCCTGGTAATTTCTTCAGTTTGCACTTCATGCTATCATCTTTCTACTGATACACTGGCATTCCAACTACAAACTTCCCAAACTGCACTGATACACTGCATTGGCACACTACATTCACACACTGTACTCACACACTGTATATGACTTCTACATACACTCATTCTGCATACTATGCTTGCATCTGGTACACACATTGAAACTGATATGTGACAACTGTCTTTTTAGATCCCAGCTATACTGGGTGCACTGGCGGCGGCAGCAACACCAGTACCAACAGTATCCCCTCCAGCAGCAGGGGGAAGAGGCAGAGATAGGGGTACCCGGGGCTAGAGCAGTCCTCCAGAGCCCATCTTAAGCAATGACGATGCTGAGACTAGTGACTCTGGGGAGGCAGTGAGTTGGCATTCCGAGTCATCCGAGAGTGGAGACGATGCCGCATTGGTTCCGAGAGCGGAGGTGATGATGCCGAGACGGGTTAAGGGGTAGAGAGCAGAGATGATGCCAGCTCTGGTTCTGGTTTAGAGGCAGATTCAAAGTGCGATGTTGATAGAGATAGTGCCCCAGAGTCCTCTCCTCCGAGGAAGAGGACGAAGAGGGCCTCTCAGGCTTGAGGCGACCGGTGCTGATTTTTTGTACTTTTGCTTAATTTCTTTTTGTTTGGTAGCATTAGCACATGTATAGCTTCAAATAGGTTTATTTTTCTTTGAAAACTTATACTAATCTTTTGTAAAAAAACCATGATTGGAATAAACCTCGCAGTTTTTATAAAAAGTGTTGTTATTTTTGCATCATGAGCACCATATTTGCATGAAAATGAACATGGAATTGAATTGGCCAAAAGAACACTTGATTGAAACAATGTTCTAAATCGGGTAATGAGCTGACCAACAACCAAAATACAAAATACAACTTACAACTCGATAAGCAAAAACAACTCGATAAACAAAGCAAAAACAACTCAAATAAAAATAAACAAACTTGCCAAAACCAAAAAGATTCAAAGCAAGACCTCAAAACACTCAAAGATCAAAACAAAACTCATGCCCCCATCACTGCCCAATAGACAGGTGGACAACAGGCCTGAAAAGGAGGCTGCCGGCTAGAGACCATCAAATGCAAGAATGGGTAGATTGTTGACAGCAGGCTTCCACTCACTGCCTTATCTTCTACAAAAGGTTCAGCTTCGTGAATTCTTCTCTAGAACTTCATTTCAGCTGCAATTTCTTCACAAATGGAGCCACTTTTTACCGAAAAGCTCTTGGATTGGATTGCTTATTTAGACGGCTCGAAAAAGGTTAATTTCTGGGGTTTCGACATAAATGCACTTTTTTCGTTAAGCCGAACTTCACTTTGTTTTCTGTTACTTCATGCCGCGACTCGATGTTGGGACCCAATTACACATGTCTTTAGCTTTGGGGGATAAGAAATATGCCTGACAATTGAAGAATTTTAGGCACTAATGGAATCCCAATGCGATGAGGAAATCATGCCTCAATCCCGTTTTGGCCACGTTCAAGCTTTGGGACGAATGTGTGGACTCACTCTACACGAGGCTTGATCTTTGGACCATAACGGAGAGCTAGACATATCCAGTTTGATTCATCGATTTTTCAACGTTGGTGACCGAGGCGACCTTGTTTGGTGAGGATTTCGACAACATGCCCTCTGCTTATGTATGCTTGCTCATTTTCTTCTTGCCCGTTTGGCGGGTCCAATATTTGGTTAGTCGAAGTGGTCCAAGGTTTGAAAGAAGGCAAGAGTTGCATTGGCTTGGTGTTGGCCGAGACCTTGATGGGCTTAGACGCCTTTCATCGGCGTGAGACTACTAGATTCGTATGGAGTCCACTACTTCTTCAGGTATTGTTTCTCACCTTTTCTCATACGTGTTTCTCACATCACTCAGCACTCATGCTCTATTTTTCTCTCAAAACCCTTTTCTCACTTTTCCCTCAACATACATCTCTCTATTCTTTAATCTCTCTTTTCTTTCATCCCTTCCCAGGTGTGGCTTATGGATAAGATGAAGGTAGTGGACTCTTGCCCTAAGTACTCAGCTCAAGGCTACTTCTTCCGCCACTGACTAGTGGATTTCCTGAATAAGGGATAATGGTGCAACTGGATGTGCAATAGGTCTGCTGTTGACATAGCTTGGTATTGCCCCGAGCTTAATTTGACCAAGATGAGTTACAGCATGGCTCAGTAACCTGGCATTTAGCTGATCGGCCTTACGCATTGTGTATTCTATTTCCCGTTTCGATTCAGACGTTAGTTTGGGCACGATCAGACATGCCCAGAGGAGGAGGTGGAGTACCCGGTTTCATTCCCCATCTGTGGCCCACATTTGGCTAGGTACCTCACTGCTTGGAGGACGAGAGAGCTTCTAGCCCCAGCCCCTAGTTTCAGTTTCGTCCTTTCTGGCGAGTGCTTGGATTGGCTTGAGGATGAGGCACAAATCGGGCCCACTTTGGCTTCAAAAGCTTCCACAAGCATGAGCGGAGGACGCAGGAGCACCTGACTCATCAATGCCCCTAGTTTATTGCTTTGACCTTTCTTTTCAAGTTTTTCAATGTATAAAAGCGACTTTGATTTGTATCAGAGAGTTGGAGAAATTTTATGTTGAAATCAATGAAATTATAGTTGTGAGCATTGAAAATTTTCCTTTTGATCCAAAAGTGGTCTAAATTGTAAGAGGTAAATTTTCAACAAAATCAACTTTATTAAAACTTTCCAAAACCATTTTCGAAAAGGATCGCCACTTGACACGCACAAAATCAATCGTCAAGATGTACAACCCCAAATCAAACGATCACAAATTGCCCCTTGTTTGAATAACATTGCTCAACATTGTAACTAGCTCTTCTCTCAAAGTAAAGATCACAACCGAACTCTCAGGTAAAGAACAGACAAAGATGACCTGATCAGACACATGGACAGGACAGTTTAGTTGGAGGTGTTTACGGCTAAACTTTAGGATGAAGTTGCCTACGTATCCCGAAGATGGGAATCAAGCCTTACGTAGTTCGGTTCAGGTTCACTCGAGTATTAACCCTCTCCTTTTGCACTCTAACTTTTGCCAAAGTCGTCATTTAGGGTTTTCAACCTTATGAGCTCAATTTTTCTTTATTTCTAATTTTTCATGCTCTAAGTTTTGCCTAGGTCACCTTTTCGGATTTTCAGCCTAGCGAGCCTCTCAGGGATAGTATTTCTTCAACTTGTCCATGTTGATCGGTTGCGAAAATTCCAGGCCATCAGATCCATGAGAATAACAGCTTCACCCGGCCAGATAGTTTTAATGATGTAAGGACCAGTCCAATTGGGTCTAAACTTGCCTCTGGGGTCATGAATGGGAACTCGATTATCTTTCAGCACCATATCTCCCTCTTTGAGATTTCAGGACTTAACCTTCTTGTTAAAAGCCCTAGCAATTTTGCGTTGATAGCCCTGAACATGATACAATGCTTTCAGCTTTCTCTCATCAAACAACATTAGTTCTTCAAATATGCTCTGTTGCCAGTCCGGCTCTGCTACCTGACACTCAGCTATAACTCGCAGTGACGGGACTTCTATTTCAATAAGCAGAACAGCTTCCATTCCATAGATGAGAGAATAAGAAGTTGCTGCTGTAGACGTCCAGATTGAAGTTCTATAGCCCCATAGTGCGAATGGCAATTTATCTGGCCAGTCCCTGTAGGTCTGAACCATCTTCTACAAGATATTCTTGATGTTCTTGTTGGCGGCCTTAACAGCTCTGTTGGTTTGTCACTGGTATGTAGACGACTTATGAAAAGCCACATTGTATTTTTTCAACAAGTCTATCACATCTTTCTTGAAGTGGGAGCCATTGTCTGATATGATCTCGTTTGGGACTCCATATTGGCAAATGATATTATTTCTGATGAACTTGGCCACATGCGATGCTTTCAACATGGCATAGGACTGAGCTTTCACCCACTTTGTAAAGTAATCAATTGCCACCAGAATGTATTCATGCCCATTCGACCCTTTTAGTGTGACTGCGCCAATAACATCGATTCCCCAAACCGAGAAGGGCCATTCTTGCGATTAGCATGAATTTGGCATTTGTGGCATCACCGAACAAAACCAATACAATCCTCCTCCATGGTGGACCAGTAGTAACCTTGCCTGAGAATCTTCCGGGCTAACATCACTCCGTTCATGTGCGCTCCGCACTCTCCCCCATGGATGGCCTCCATCAGGCGCTTTGATTCTTCGTCTTTGACACACAACTTGTGCATTCCCAGATGACCTCATTTGTATAGTTTACCTCCGCAGATGATAAATTGGACGGCTATTCACCATATTCCTCTTTTGTCCTTGGCATTTGCCCCTGGTGGATAAATCTCCTTTTCCAAGAAGTTCCAAATATCGTAGTACCAAGGGTTTTTGTCTTGTACTTCATCTATTACAGCGATAGTTTCATAGGCCAACGTGTATCTCTGCTCAATGATGATCGGACGCATCCGGACTTCAAACGAGATGTCTACTATGGATGATAGAGTTGCTAAAGCATTAGCGAACCTATTGTTCTCTCTCAGTAGATGCGTGAAACTCAGCTTTTCAAACCTAGGAATTAAAACGTCTAGGGTCGGGTGATAAACCTTCATATTTTCTTCTTTGACCTTCCAATCTCCATTTGCTTGAGAAACAACTAGGTTCGAGTCCCTGATAACATCCAATCTTTTTGTCCCTAGTTCTAGGGCGGCTTCTAAACCAGCAATACACGTCTCATATTCTGCTTCGTTATTGAACACCTTGAACCAGAGTTTGAAGGCTAAAGGTATGTGGGAGTCATCGGGTGCTATCAGTAACACACCTATCCCATAACCGTATTGATTAGACGCTCCGTCAAAGTACATTATCCAAGTCTCTTCCTCAACTTGCAGCATGGCTTTATCTGGGAACAGGTACTCCACCGCTTCATCCCCTTCTACTGGGTGATCTGCCAGGAACTCCGCTACAACTCTCCCCTTGACCGACTTGCGGGTAACATACTTGAGATCAAATTCGGAGAGAAGAAGCAACCAACGGGCTAGCCTACCCATAAGTACTGGTTTCTCAAAGAGATAGTTGATGGGATCTAATCTCAAAATCAAAATTATGGTGTGAGCTAACAAGTAGTGCCTCAACTTCCCGGTAACCCATACCAAGGCTAGGCAAGCTTTCTTCAATGGAGTGTATCGGGTCTCGTAATCCAGCATTTTCTTACTCAAGTAATAGATGACTTTCTCCACCCTATCCTCAGATTCTTGAGCAAGCATGCATCCCATTATTGTCTCTGTCGCTGACAGGTATAGAATCAAAGGTTTCCCAACTCTTGCGGCGATAACACAGTTGGATTCTGAAGGTACTACTTAATCTGCTCAAAACCGAATTAACATTGATCATCCGATCGAAATTTCTTTCCTTTCTTCAGGAGACCAAATAGTGGTTCACAAGTCAAGGTTAATTTGGAAATAAACGGTCTTATGAATTGCACTTTATCTAGAAAGCCTTGCACTTCCTTTTCAGTCTTTGGTGGTGGCATTTCTAGGATGACCTTGATTTTGGAAGGATCTACTTCGATGCCCCTTTGTGTGATAAAAAAGCCTAGATTTTTCCGGCTGTTACGCCAAAAGTACATTTCTGCGGATTCAATCTCAGTCTGTATTCTCTGATCCATTGAAAGAATTTCTTCAAGGCAGTGTCGTGCCCCTCTCTTTCTTTGGACTTGACAATCATATCGTCC